AATGCTTTTTCTTCCTCTAAAAATGACTCCAATTTAGCCTGGCCAGCGTGGCTCAGTGGTTGAGCGTCAACCAGGCAGTCACGGTTCGATTCCTGGTCAGGGCACACTCGGTCCTCAGTCGGGGGAGTGCAAGAGGCAGCCGATCGATGATTCTCTCTCATCATTCATGCTTCCATCTCTCTCCCTCTCCCTTCCTCTCTGAAATCAATAAAAATACATTTTTTAAAAAATGACTCCAATTTAAATAAATTTCCTCCAGCTTCATTTAGTTTTTGGTTAGTTGGCCCATGTCTGACCCACGTCTGTGTTCATCTCTGATCCTCTCGCTGGCCTGTGCACAGAGCTTGTGAGCCGTCATGGCTGCCTGCGCAAGAAGAAGTGAAACGGGGGTAGCTCCACATGCAAAGAAGGGGCTCCTTCATTTTTGAGGACCTGCCCCTGTGGCCCCCGGCCTGCTGCAAAAACAACGGCTCTGGGCTGCTGTGAAACTAACTGCCCTTGGAGTCTGGCTCACTGAATCCCATGAGGTGTTCAGCGTCATGGGATGAGGCAAGTGCTTGGGCCCAGGCTAATGTCCTGGGCATGGCGGTGGTGGTGTTTCTGGGCAGCATTTTTGCTACCGATTTACAGAGCAAAGCCCTGCCACGTGGAGCCTTGGTGTGTCTTCCATCCACCTTGTGTGACAGTTCACGGAACACGGTGACTCTCTGTGCCTGGCGAGGGCGACATCCAGAGAGACATTCGTCAGCATCCCAACCCACGCAACAGGCCTTGATGTGAATGGCCTTGGCGCCATCTCTGTGCAGAGGGTTTTTAGGTAGTTGTTCCTATTGATATTATTGTCTTTACTATTATTTGCAGTGTGTCACACCATTTTCACAATGTCGTTTGATCATTCGCCCTAACAACATCACGGTGGTGTAGTTGTGGCAGCTGAGTACTGAATGGTTGTTCGTTACGGTTCCAGGTGAGCACGTGGACCTCAGAGCCAGACGCCGGGGTTTGCATCCTGGCCCCACCACTTCCTGGTTATGTGACTGTGGACAAGTTACTAACCCTCTCGAAGCCTCGGTTTCCTCACCTGTGAGATAGAGAATACTAGCCCCTACCTTATTAGGTTATTATGAAACCAGTGACTAAATATTTATGAAGACAGAATAATCACTAATAATATTCTCTTTTATTATCACCATCAACATGGTCATCTGAGAGTTTGTGATTTACTTGGGATCCTAATTCTTGTACAGATTGGGCTGAAAACTCAATCCTAGGGGTGATGACTCCAAGAGACATGGACTTTCTTTCCTCTTGGTCTTTATTTGCTTATTACACAGTAATACAAAAATACATCCTTTTTGTAAAGGATGAAAGAGTACAGAAACATACAAAGGAACTTGTTGGGCTCTGACCCTCACTCCTTCCTGTCTCTGCTGAGGTATTCACAACAAACTGATGGGTGTGCATTCTCCTTACTGCCCCTCCATGCAGGACACAGGTATGATACTGATATACATGTGCATTCTCTCTGAAATCCTATATAATAAAAGGCTAATATGCAAATCGACCAAACGGCAGAATGACCGGTCACTATGACGTGCACTGACCACCAGGGGGCAGATGCTCAATGCAGGAGCTGCCCCCTGGTGGTCAGTGCACTCCCACAGTGGGAGCGCTGCTCAGCCACAAGCCTGGCTGATGGCTGGAGAGTGCAGCAGTGGTGGCAGGAGCCTCTCCCACCTCCGTGGCAGCGCTAAGGATGTCCGACTGCGGCTTAGGCCCGCTCCCCACAGTCGAACATCCCCCCAAGGGCTCCTGGTCAGTCAGACACCCCCCAAGGGCTCCTGGACTGTGAATGGGTACAGGCCGGGCTGAGGGACTCCCCCTCCCCCCCACCCCCCCCTCCAGTGCACGAATGTCATGCACCGGGCCTCTAGTAAATAATAATAATAGTGCCTGACTTATAGGCCTGTTGGGGGATGCCAGACAAAATGCTAGTCCTCTCATCAGCCCCATGAGGTGAATGCTAGTCTAGCCATTTTATAGATGTGGAAGCTGAAGGTCCGAGAGATTCCCACCATCACAAGACCACACGGTGCCGAAACAGGATTGCATGTAGTCAGACTTACTCCAGTGTTTACATTCTCTTGACTACTCATTATGTGATTGTATTATTTTCTGCATGATTTTTTTCTCTCAGTCATATCAGCTTGAACTCTTTCCATGTAAGTGTCTATAAGTTTACTTCATTCTTTTCATGGCTGCCTAAGATCAATATTTTATCTAACCACTTTCTTATTTAGGTTGTTTTCTATTTCTTTGTTATTTACTATTACATATAATGCAGTGTTGAATGTCTTCAGTATATACACATGTGAGAATTTCTGTAGGATAGCTTTTAGAACTGGAATTTGTGCATCAGGGAATGTGTACACATTACATTTTTATAAATATTGCCAACGTTGCCTTCCAAAAGGAATTTTGCTCACCAACAGTGTGAGAATTCCTATGTCCTCACACTAGTTTGTGTTTTTTTTAATAATCTTTGCCAATCTGACAGAGAAAAATACATTTTTCTAAATTGTATTTCCCGGGTTCCTTTTGGGATCATCTGTGTTTCCTCCGGAAGTTACCTTTTGCCCATATTGCCGTTTACTTTTCCTCATAGATGCTCTGTATGTATTCTGGATGATAATCTGTAGTCTGAAATGCATGGCAAATATTTTCTCCCTGTCTGTTATCTTCTTACGTGGAAAATCCATTGTTTGCACCTTTAATTGGATAATTCATTTTTTCAACTCGTTTGAAACCCCACCTTTATCATAATTCTCTTGTTATATGTATGACTGTGCATCTGTCTTCCTCTCTTCTGTCCCACTGGTTTATTTTCTTTTCCTGCACCAGAATTAAAGCACTTTAATTATTTCAACCTTAGAATAACTTTTTACATTGGGAAGGTAAAAATACCCCTATATTGCTGCGCTTTAAAAAAAAAAAATGTCTGTGTATTTGTAAGCATTTTTTCTTCTTCCATGTGAGCTTATTAGAGTTAGCTTGTCAAGTTCAGCAAAGGAAATTCCAATGAGGGCTTAGACTTAGAAGGCATTGTATTAATAGGTTCTTTGAAATAAATTGCCATCTTTACAATATTTAGTTTTCCCATCCAGAAATACTGTGTCTCTATTTAAGTCTTTTCTGTTCATCCGTTGAGTGCTGTGGTTTTCTTTATGTAAGTCTTACATGGGAGGGTTTATTTGTCACTATTACAAATGAGGTCCTATTTTCCCATTACACTGGCTTAATTTGTGTTGCTAGTGAGTAGGAAGACTATTGGCTTTTATGTGTTAATTTTTTTTTATCTAGCTGCTTGGCTGAGCTCTTTTATTAGTGACCTTTGCACTTATTTCTTTTTCTTGACTTATCACATTGGCCAGGACTAAAGCAATGTAGGAAAACATTGGTTAAAGTCTGCATCCTCGTCTTGCTCCTGTCTTTAAGAAGAATGCTTCTGATGTGCCACCAAATATGATGGAAACACTTTATCATCTTGAAGGAATTTCTTTCTATACCTAGCTTACTGAGAATCGTGCTTTTCACCGTAGACTGCACCAGATTCCTCTCGAGGAGCCTTAATTCTTTTCCTTACATTTTCCTTGAGAATCCTGAGATTGTCCTGACGGGGACCTCCCCGCATTGACATCCCAGCGAGCCAACATAGTTTAGAACTGAATACGGCGATATCTTCTCTCTTCCTTCATTCATTCACGTTGGACCCTAAATGGCCTAAGGAAAGGAACTACTTTATGTTGACATTTTCTCCCCTCCCCCTCCCCCCAGGGGAAAAAATTTAATTAAACACACTGTGTGGACAAGAACAATCGCACCACTTCTGGAATTTTCCGGCAAATACCACTGAAAAGATTTTGTTCCTGGCTTCTAGTTTTAAATAACGTCCATTTTCCCCCCACTTGATTATCTTGAGTAGCTGAGCACCATCTCACACTCTGGTTGCCAAGTGGCTTTTGAAGTTTCTCTAGGAGGGTGTGAGAAAGGAGTCACTCCGGCCTCTGGGTTCCTGTTGAGATTCCATGTGGGGCACCGGGGGCGGCTACTTCTAACCCTAGGCTCCCAGCACTGCCTTCCACATGGTTCATGGAAAAGAGATGCTTTTATAGTTGGTTGACAACATGACTTAATTGCAGAGGGAACTGGATAATTTTCAGGTGGTACAGTTTTTGCTAAGCTGTCCACAGAAAGGTTTCATTTCTTCAGGCATGCATTTGGCGCGGGACTCTAATGGGACTTGGCACCTGTCTAGAGCGTTGTCGCCGTGTCCAGTGACATTTGCTCTGGGGAAATCAGCACCTGCTGTGGTGGCATCTGTCACAGGGAAGACGGTGGAATGCCTGTGGATAATGCAGAGCCGCCTCAGCAGAGCGCCTCCTTCAGAAAACAGTATTAGATTTTGGCAGAAGATGGTTGTAAGCAGCATCGACGAGAATGTGGGCTCCTTCTGAGACAAAAGCAGTTGATGATGTCTTTTACTGGGGCTTTTCTCATCCAGATGTAAGCTGGGTAGATTTTATTACTGTCAGACTGTTTGGCTAAGAAAGCAAGAACCTGCTAAAAGGATCCTTTCTTCTTATTGCTTTAACGTTTTTGAGGTGGGTGTTTTGGGGAGATGGCGTGGCCTCAGCTTGGGCACGTGGTGTGTAACTGGCCATCGTCCAGGCGAGCCCAAGCCAAGAGAGAACTGGAAGCCAGAAACCCCAAGAGGCAAGGCGGCCCCATTATGACAAGCACAAGAAGCTGGTCTCTGAGCCCCTCCCAGCTCCAATGGCGTCGGCTTCAGCTTCTAGGGCTGTTGGTGTAGGAGGTTTGATCAACTGGACGATTATTTTTCCTGCCTCCACATCCTCTCTTTCCCCTAAACCCCCAGGTCCAGAAAACAGGCTGGGGGCAGTAACCAGTAGACTGACCGTCCTCTACCTCTTCTCTTCCAGGCAGGTGACAAACATTACCACCCCAGCTGTGCACGATGCAGCAGATGCAACCAGATGTTCACAGAAGGAGAGGAAATGTATCTTCAAGGTGAGGTGCTCAGGAGCCCAGGAAGTTCTCCCCACCGGGGGAAAGAAAACCTTGCTCTGTGTTTGGTTGGTTGTTTTTAGGGAAGGAGGCATTTCATTAGTTGCAAGGTTACTCAGATCCAAACGGCATGTGGCCAGAAGTTACCTCATTGCTTAGTATTAACCAGCTAAGCAGTTGACATGCTGGCAGCGAGCCGCTGGGGTTGTTAACAAACAAATGTGTTGCTGCTGCAATGAATGAGCAGGCCTGGGTGTTGGACGCCATGGATGTTAGGCACGAGTGACGATCACTCCCCCTCCTCCCAACCCTCTCCAGGAACATGTTTGGGAAACAAAAGATCCAAGAGAGAAAACAGCTCTAGAAATGCTGCTCAGTGGACGGCTACCTTGTCCGTTCCCTTTTCCCTGCCCTGCCAGAAGGATCTTTGAGGCCTCCCAGGCTGCTGCTGAGAAGGAAATCTCATATTTGGTGAATTGCGTCACAGATATATTTCATCCCATTAAGATGACATAGCTCTTCTATTGAAGGAGAATGGAGAGAACACACCCAAAGCCCCTGAAAGAGAAATTGGGACGTTGCTGGTGGGATTACCAGGGAGCCGTTAGATTTCTTATTTTTTTATTAAGAATGAAATTGAGAGATTATCCCAGTGTACGACTATGACTGGTTTTTATCTAAAGTTCTGAAGCTTCGCGGAGGGGCTCTAGGGGAAGGTTTCCTGCCAGGCGAACAGTCCCATCTGTGCGAGCAGTTCACTATTTTTAGCTGTAAAAGAGTCATTAACTAGACAAGGGCTTATCAGTAAAATTAGCAAGAACCGTAAGAGCTATTGCTCGTTCAGTGTTGGTAATTACTGGGTCTCATCTGCTTCTCGATGTCATTTTTCATGTCTCTTTGCACCAAACACTATATTTTTTAAATTTTACTTTTATTGTTGAGGGTATTATAGATGTTCCCCCATTTCCCTCCCTCTTTCTCCCCCCTCCACGGGCTCCTGCCCCACCCCAGGCCTTCACCGCGCTATTGTCTGTGTCCACGGGTTATGCATGTATTCATATAAGCTCTTTGGTTAATCTCTTCCTGCACTAGTCAGTCTGTTCCATGCTTCCATGTCTCTGGGCTTATTTGTTCATCAGTTTATTTTGTTCATTAGATTCCACATACAAGTGAGCATACTGTGAATTTTTAATGAGTGGTTTCCTTTACTCTCAGTTTTTTTTTATGCAACCCAGAAAAGCCTGCAGAAATTACTGTGGAATATTAAAGCAAAGCTTCGGCTACTCTCTCTTTAAAAATGCCGCCTATGTGAGATATTAACAACCCAAACATCCTCTTAGCTGTAGGATGAGTACTCTGAAAAATTCTGCCTAAAAAAAAAAATCACTGAATATTAAAGGTCCCAATAAAGACAAGTGACAAGAACCCAGATCCCTGGACTCATCTGGGCTTCGCTTCCCTGGGGACACGCTGTGCATCTGCAGGTGTGACTGCGTTTCAGAATGGAGTAGGTTTGTTTCCACTTGGTCTCCAGGCTTTGTTGTGGGTTTTAGTGTGTCAATTACAGCCCTCAGAACAAAGACTCGAGTGAGTGTAACCCCTGTGTCTGCTGGGAACTGAGACTCGAGCTCTGGGCTCAGCCCTGGGCCTGGAAGCTGCATAGACGGAGCTGAATAGATGTGCGCAAGTGCAGCACATCCACGCCACAGACGAGCAGCTATCTGCCCAGGTGGAGTGCGTTCAGAATTCCAGGGATCGTTGTACATCTCTTCGCGGGCGCGGTGCTCTTTGCTTGCCTCTCGGCTCATCCTTGAAGAAGGAGCAGTTTCATCTTCCCAGGCACCTGATGTTCTCTCTGTGTCACGTTGCTGTGTGCCTGGCCTCTGGGGGACAGTGGGACACTGTGCAAGCCCGGGGTTCTGGCCAAGGACTCCCGATCAACAGGCCTTCACGGCGAATGCACTCCTGGGCCCGGCCCTGACCCGTGGCCCTTGGGTCTCCACATGAAGAGGGTTTCTTGTGCTTTGTAGGCAGCGTTGGAGTAAATGTTGGTGCTGAAGGGACTGTCTGGTTGTTGTTTCTTCTTCTTCTTCTTCTTCTTCTTTCTTCTTTCTTCTTCTTCTTTCTTCTTTTTTCTTTCTCCTTTCTTCTTTCTTCTTCTTCATTTTTTTTCCCTGGCCCTGGGTTAAGCAAGATAGACCACTATTCATTGACCACTGTTTTATAAAATAACTCAGTTGTGCCGAAACCGGTTTGGCTCAGTGGATAGAGCGTTGGCTTGCGGACTGAAAGGTCCCAGGTTCGATTCTGGTCAGGGGCATGTACCTGGGTTGCGGGCATATCCCCAGTAGGAGATGTGCAGAAGGCAGCTGATCGATGTTTCTCTCTCATCGATGTTTCTAACTCTCTATCTCTCTCCCTTCCTCTCTGTAAAAAATCAATAAAATATATTTTAAAAAAAAAATAACTCAGTTGTATAAAATAACTGAAGAAGTAGGTTAATTTGGTGTCTTTTCAAGTACAAACAGATTGCTGTTTGAAGAGATAAAGATTTCGACAACAAAATGTAGATAGCCTCGTATTCATAGACTCTTATTACACACATATCATTTACTCACTGCCTTCAACTTAGCAACTCTATTTGCTTGAATCTTTTTAAGTGCTCCTTCTGGTTCTCCCGCCCATCCCCACATTTGAACATGCCCTTATGTGTAGGTCTTGGCCATAATTTATAAAGGACATATATATCTGGGCATACAAAATTATACATGCAGGCTTGGATTTTTACAAGATAACAGCTTCCTAGGAGATATACGTGTTTTGCTTTGTTCTGGGACCATCCTTAAAAATATTTGTGCCCCGAGAAAGGGAGACATTGACCCAGAAACAGAAAATGACACGTAAGTAATAGCTTCTCTAGTTTAACAGTGAATATTTTTTTAAGTTAGGTAAAAGTTTGAAAGATGAAGGAAACTTTTGGATTTGTATCATAACTGTCCGCCTTTCTACTCGTTGGTCCGATATCCCGTATCTGGGTAGATGACTACGTATATATAACTGGATCAACAACAAATTCAGTGAGTTTTGTTCCTGAATGTAGGCGACCTGGTTGCACTTCATTTCCCTCATCTAAACTGCTGGTTGTTCTGATGTAATGTAAACATGCTGATGGCTTCTATTTCTGAAAATAAATGCAGCTTGCAGTAAGCACACAGACAATACTTTTAAAGGATAATAATATGGTCAGGAAATAAAACACTCAGTCAAGAACTACATATCCCTTGCATGAAAACACTTATGCCCAGCTAGTCATCTCTGCGGTCAAGAATTATGACCTTGCCAGCTGGTGTGGCTCAGTGGTTGAACACTGACCTATGAACCAAGAGGCCACTGTTCAATTCCAGGTCAAGGCACATGCCCAGGTTATGGGCTCGATCCCCATTGTGGGGGGTGCAGGAGGCAGCAGATCAATATTTCTCTCTCCTTGATGTTTCTATCTCTCTATCCCTCTCCCTTCCTCTCTCTCTAAAATCAATGAGAACATTTTTTAAAGGAATCTTGACCTTAATCGGGCAAGCTCCGACAAGGTGAGGGAAATTCTCCCGGAGTTTGGATTGGTCCTGGGTCACGTGGCGCAGGGCTCCAGCTCTCCCCTGTGCTGGGGAGAGAGGGATGAACCCTTTGTACAAGTTCTAACAGACCCAGGGCGCTGTTCTATTTCCCCTGCTCTTAGCGGTGCCTTATGTCTTTCCAGGTTCTACCGTTTGGCATCCCGACTGTAAGCAGTCTACCAAGACGGAGGAAAAGCTGCGGGTAAGGACATCATTCGAGATGTGTGATGGCAGGTGCATTGGCAAGCCATGTGTTCCCTAGTGGCTGGTTCTTGGGGCGGGAGTGTGGGTGAAATCACGTGGCCGTGAGTTTTTTCCTCTATCGCAGACCAAGCTGAAAGGCCCTTTGGCCAGGGAAGGAGGGTCCCTCCTACCTTACATTGATTGTGTGTGTTTTGTCCCAAGTGCTTGCGTTGGACCAAGGAAGCCTTGCCTCACTAGTCAGGTTCCTAGGAAAGCATTCAAGTGAAACGTCAAATCCTCCAGATGTGAAGAAAAATGATTCATGATGTCCTAGTTCCAACATCTGGTGACCTCCTTGCCGGACATTTTTATGCTTAGTCCATAATGCAGCACTCCAGCTCAGACTCCACATCCAGTGCTCAGCTCTCGGTACATCTGACTACCCTCTCACATCCAGCCTCACCCGGGAGCCTCCATCTCCAAACGCTGATGGTTTGGGGAAGTAGTGACGAGGCCAGGTGTGGCAGTGTGGACATGTGTGCTGGGCGGCTTTAGAACTTAACTCTTAGATACCCTAAAAGTGTTCTGGTAACTATCCTAGACCACCTAGCACACGGGCAAAAGGATGGATCCTCTTATCTCTCTCTCCTAAAGCCCACCGGTCTTAGTCCATCTCAGAACGCCACCAGGGGACACAATTTTATTTGTTTCCGAAGCAAAGGGTCTACACAGTGGTCAGGTCATTATCGGGATCTGTATCCTGTTCAGACACCCCCAGTTTTTCACCTGAGCAATAATCAGATGGGATCCAGGCCCCAGTCCCTCCGTTTAGCTAACTGAGCGGTGCCCTTGAAAAAGCTGGCGTTTGACTAATCCACATGGTGTCTCAGGGAAGAGAATGGACTGAATTTATTTTGAAGGCCAGACTAGAGTGTGGTCTCATTTCTCCACAGTCTGCCATTAACAGGCATAAGAAGCTGTATGTGTAACCCCAATAGGAGCACACTTGAAGGGGAGGGGAAAAAGCCACTTTTTTCTCAGAATAATTGAGTAAAGATAAAACAAACTGAAAAATCATGTGCCCCAGTATCAGGACGGTTTGGGTTTCTGGTTTGACATATAGTGTCAACTTGAGCACATGTATAGCCCTCACTGCTGGGCCTGTGTTTGGGCTCCAGATTCTGGGATCTTTGAGGAACCACGGATGCTATGGCAACGGGGTATCTTTATAAACTACTAGAATGTTAAAGATGGTGCTTATTGTCACTTTTATCATAAAAATGTAAAATTCACAACATGGCGTGGGGACCCTGCCCAGAAACCACCCAAGTAGCCAGTGGTTTGCACTGTCTTTCGAATAATCTTTTTACTTCAACCCCTATGAAGTCTGTGGGAGACAAAGGCAAGAATGCTAATGAGGCCACACTGCATGGAATGGGGTCTTTTCTCTTGAAGGAAGGAATCCTTGAGTTTGCAGATGGTGTTACTAAAATGATTTTTTTTTTTTAAATCAACGCTTTTAAATGCATCTTGATGGGACTCTCTGGATAAGCTTATGAAAACAACTAGTGACTAATTCCACCCGTTCTAGCCAAGGGGGCTCTTGTTTCTCCTTCATTTCTTGAAGCTTTACCAGAGAATTCCAAAGCTCCTCCCCTAGAGCCCACATTTACCGCTGGCGAGGCCAGGGCCGCCCTCGGCTCGGTCACCTTTGGGACGTCAGTAGTGAGGAGAGTGACGTACCTCCAAGGGGAAGTGGTCCCGATGGGCCCCGAGTGGGGTACATGCCGACGTGGTGAGACCTACAGGGGAGCTGGAGTCTGAATGAGGGAATGCATGTTGTGCTCTCTGATGGGTGTGTCTGAGGTCACAAATCGCCAGCCCAGATTTCCAGGCCTTTCACCGGGTGTCCCCTTAGTGCGGTTACCATAGCAAAAGGAAAATGTTTTAGAGTCTTTCAGCAGCACCACTGAGTGAGCCACATTCTTGATGTTGGAAAACTCACAGGGGGTGTTTGTGACAACAGATTCTTAAAGGGACACCTCTCAATGGCTTCACTGGCTTCTTCCACTTCATAGGGCAGCGGTTCTCAACCTGTGGGTCGCGACCCCTCTGGCAGTCGAACAAACCTTTCACAGGGGTCGCCTAAGACCATCCTGCATATCAGATATTTACATGACGATTCATAACAGTAGCAACATTACAGTTATGAAGTAGCAACGAAAATAATTTTATGGTTGGGTCACAACATGAGGAACTGTATTTAAAGGGCCAGAAGGTTGAGAACCATTGTCATAGGGGATATTTAAGCCAAAATAAATGGGGGTGGAACGTAGGCAACTATGCTGCATCTTGGAGACTAGTTAATATGCTTCAAACACGGGCCCCAAACATACACATTCATACACGTCCACTAAAGCGACGACCCTTGCTGTTTACTGTCAAATCTGTTTTCCCCAGGGCGTTTTTCTAGTGTTTCCGAATTGAGTTTATGTCTCTTCATTCTCCCTTTGTTTCCTGTTTCACGGCAGCCGCCAAACACTCGGCATTCTCCCTCCGATTTCTTTTATCCCAAAAGTCTGATCCGACGCACAGGACGGTCCCCGTCGCTGCAGGTTGGCACTGTGTGTGGCCAGGCTTCTGCCGCTCTCCCTCCCGTGCTGCTTCTCCCACGTAACGCCCGGGCCCCCCGCTTCCTCTCACCCCACCGAGTGCACCTCACGTCTGACTCTGGCTGTCTTCTCTGATCGGCCTTTTCCTGTAGAGCAGTGGCTACAGCGTTGTCTTGATTAAAGCAGACGCCTTAGAAGCTACCCGTGTTCACACGTTTGTTCATTGAACAAATAATTTGCCAAGCACCAGGCGTAGTGTGGGCTGGATGCTATAACGTAGACCAGTCGGGAAGAGCAGACAGATAGGTAAATAATTATGGAAACATATCACAGGAAGTGGATCGCATCGATCAGGGCGGGTCAGATGAGCAAAAAGGTGCAGGGGGCACTTCCTCGAGGCTGGACGAGACAGGGGTGCCCAGAAGGGAACAGCGAAAGCATGGTGCTGGGCATAGGCGTGGGTAGGGAGTGGTTTGGCTCATAAAGAGGTAGTGAATTAGGAGAAGAAACAAATGAGACCAGGCACCTGTTCTTCAAAGGCTAAGCGATTTACCTGCACTCTCATCCGCTCTTTCAGCGCATTCCTGTGTGAGAGCTATCCTTATTCCCATTTTACAGGTGGAGGGACTGACACCTATCGTAGTTAAGTAACTTCCCGAGAGTTACCCACTGATAAGTGGAAGGGCTGGGATGGGAACCCATAATTCATGTTCTTTCCACTATTGCACAAGGGGAGAGAGAGAGGAAGCTGGGAAGACAGAGAGAGGAGCGCATTAAATGCTGGCTAAGTCTGCTGGCAGCAAGACCCGTCCGGGGTCCCACAGAAGCAGGGAGCATGCCGCCAGCTCCACAGATGAGCAGTGAGGCAGGAGATGGTGCTCCCAGCCCAGATGCGGCCATCTCTCGGCGTCTCTGAGAATCAGTGGAAACCTGGGCCTGTTGAACGACAAAGGTACCCTCCACACCCACCTTTGCGCAGACAAAGCCCATCCGTGGCTCTGCCGGCAACGCCAGAGGGCAGTGCCGCCCCCGCCTGGGCTCCGCGGGCGCCTCTGCCCTGGCCTGCCAGGCCCGCACTCAGGGGGAGGGGCGTTTCGGTTTAAACTTCTCCTTGGAATGAATTGAAACGCAGTTAGATGTATCGAGTTCTAAAGTGGAAGGAAATCTTCCAGACATCAACCCCTAAGCTGCTTTGTCGGCAGAATGGAGCCAGCCCCCAGCTGCACAGGCCGTCGGCAGGGCTCCCTGCACACTCCAGGCCTCGGGGTGTTGCATTGGCCCGCGATGCTGGGTGCCTCCAGCGCGGGCTTGTCATGTGACTTTCATTCTGTCCTAACGCTTCAGCTCCAGCGGTGGGGTTTCCCATAAAGTGGAATTGTAGTCTCGTGAGCCAAACATCGTCCCCATTGTGAGAGTGCTCAGAATGAGTGCCTCTGCTCGGCAAGAAGGGGCTTTTTCGATCATTTTGGGGTGTCTGCCCCCCAATAGGACACTTTATAACTCAGAGTGTTCTATTTCACCAGCCTAAGGCTGCAACCAGGTGATGCCTCTTCGTGACTTGGAGGGAAAGACCACCATCAAGTGGGAAGTATTTTGGTTTGCACCAGACCCTTACATTTAAGAGATGCGGAACATGGCGAGAAGTGGTCGGTCAGAGAGAGAGAGAGACCAGTCTTGAGTAACTTCTCTCTTCCTATCCTGTTATGCAAAGGGGACATCTGATCCCCGTTATCCAGCCGTTAATATCAAGTCACCTGTGGCTCCTTCACAGAAAGCTGGAGCTGTAGACAGTTTGGGGCCTGAGAAAACGGGCCTTTGGCCGAGGTCCCTCCACCCCGTGCCTCTGAAGAGCTGGATGTGAAGAGCAGATTGGGTCCATAGGTCACACTCAGTACTGAGCGCTTGCAGTTCCTGCTGCCATTCACTGTAGACAGAGCTCATGATGTTCCCGGGACCACCTTTGGAAGAACTCGAGGGGACACTTGCTTTCATTCTAAAAGTGGGCTTCTCTGCTGTGGCTTTGGAGTCTAGAGCATGAAAGGGCTGCCATACAAACTGGATGTGAGATTTTTGTTTCTTTTGAAACTAACATTCACCTGTCATAACATACGCTCTTACAAACCTGTAACACAGGGGTCGGCAAAAATAGGGTCACAGTTCTGAGTACGCAAAACAGAGTTTATTCTGGTATTATTATTTATCACTGTATTATTTTCCATACCAACAACTGTAAACCTACTTTTGCCCAACCCTGTATACAAAATACCCTGTGTGTATTTTATATAAATATATATATTTAATCCACACCCAAGTTTATGTTTTACTGGTTATTTTAGAGAAAGGGCAAGGGAGAAATGAGAAAGAGAGAGAAGTATTGATGTATGAGAGAAGCATTGATCTGTAGCCTCCCCTCCCGTATGTGCCTCCACTGTGGATTGAACCACAGCCTAGACATGTGTCCTAACTGGGAATCCAACCAGCAATCCTTCGGTGCATGGGGCGATGCTCCAACCAACTGAGCCACACAGGCCGGGGCTCATGTGTATATTTTTTTAAAGGAGCTCATTAGGGCCTTATGTATGTCTAGAACAAGGAAATCATATTGTGGATTTTTGTTTTATTAAGGTCGCTACAATACATGCTGCATTATTCCCAGCTTTCGCTCTGTTTGAATGTTTTGTTCTTGCTGGTCTTTACAATCCATCAGGATGTGGAGGTATCACGATGGATGCTGGAGAGACAGTGAGGCCTCCTGGCTGTAGTGAAGGCTGATGGCATCTGTGAAACTCTCCAGAGAAGGGGGTTTGTGCCCTTTGGCCCCTCCTGCTTCCTCTCAAACACAGATTCCTATTTCCAAAGTAGTTGGTCTCACCCTTTCTGGAGAGTCAGCGTTTGCAGGTTTTAAAAGTATTCCTTCTTCTGCAGCGACCACCGCCTTGTCTAGTGAACGTCAACAAAAACCCAAGGCAGGTACTGTCAACCTCAGCAGCACTTTGCGTAAGGTGTCAGTCTCCTTCTGACAGTAGGTGTCCCGTAGGTGCTCATAAGATCTGTCCCATCTGGTTGCCAGCTGCCTGTAGTGCCTCCCCTTCTTAGAGCATGGCTTTGGGTGAATGCAAAGTAGATGAAGTAGTTGTTGCATCCTGCTCCTGCTGAGTGGGGCGGGCAGGGGCAGCGAGGGGCCTGCCGGACTCGCCTTCTAAGACTGGACGAGGCGTGCGTGGGGCCATAATCGAAAGTAAATGGAAAATGTCGTTTCTCTGCCCTCTCGCCAGACAGAGCTCTGGTAAGTTTGTTTGTTTGTTTTTAATGGTCAATATTTGAAGGATGACAAGAGCTGGAGTCGAAGCATATATCTTCAGTGTAATTTTCAGTCTGACTCTGCCCTCTGAATGGTAGGTCAGATGGACAATGTCAACGCATAGAGGGAATCAGCTGAAAGGTGGTTAGAGGGTGTGTTGTTTTTTTTTACACAAAAATTTCATACAGAAAACAGAAAGATGTGCGTTTTCAAGCATCTGCCGTTAGTGATCAAATGCCATTTTTTTCTCTTTCCCCTTGAAATGAACTACTTAGTCTACTGGTAAGACCTCTCTTTGTTGGTGGGGTTATTTTTGTTTGTTTGTTTTGAGGAAAATAAAAATCTTTATTGAAATCAAAAGTGAGTGCTTGACAGTTTGCTAAGGAAATAAATGTAGGTTATACAGGCCCCTTCTTCACCAGAGATTGAGTGAGGACTGCCCATACAACTAGAAGGATCTTATGTTGCCAAATACAATGAAGTGATTTGGCTAATCTTATTGGAAAAATACTCTGAGAGGTCACAGCCATTCACAACCTTTTCTATATCTGTATGCCTTCTCCACCCTTCCCTCGCTCCCCATCCCCCCTCCCCGCTCCCCTTTTCTGTGTCTGTTTCTTTTTTTTCTTCTTTTGGCCAAAGAACTGGATTTTTCCAGCTGTGCTTTCAAGTTGTTTTTTTCTGCAAAGCTGAAGGAAAAGGTGCTTAAAGAAAAGCTGGTAAATGGCATATGCCTTCGACAGCTTCGTCACGGTCCTTGTTTCCTGTCTCTGTGGGCATGCCGCAGGGGGGAAATATTTGACATTATCTTCATTTATAATGTAGGCAAGAGAGTCATTTTGTTCGTCATAACTTTCACAGAGGATTCCAGAAACAAAGGCTGTTGGCCCAGTGGGTTGTTAAATGCATGTGGTAACTTCTGGGTCTCTGTTGTTAGCCTGGATAGCTGAGTGGGTTGAAATAGTAACTCAGGTTAAATAATGGCGCGCAAGGATCATCTGCAGAAATGCGGATCATCAGTAAACTTTTGTCACAGCCCAATGGGGTGACGTAGAGTTAAGTTAGCGGTAAAGAAGGGATTTTTAAAGAAGGAAAGCATGTCAGGAGTTTGTGCTTTTGAGGTTGACACGTGTTTCCGTTTGAGTGGATTTGAGCGGTTCTGTTGGGAGACAGCTCTGGGCCATTTGATGATGTTTGATGGATAGAGACCCTCACTCAGCAGGTTTTGTGTTAATTAGGAGGAAAAATACAGCAGGAAGAGGAAAAGGGGTTCTTTGAACAATAAACAAGATGTTTATTTAAAATGCAACATGTTAAAGTTCTAGATCTTTAGAATCAAAATGTAAAATTCCAAATATTGAAGATGGAAACTCTAAGATAATAGTTCCGTTCTTCAAAGTACTTTTATGATCGTCCTAAGGGAGAGACCTCTAATCTCTGCTGATTGAGCAAACACACTTCAGGGGCCACGAGGGAATGTGACAGAAAGCAGCGATCCCGCATGCACTTCAGCCTTGAGCGCAGGTCAAAGGGCAGCCAGCCAAACCCTGTCCTGGCAGATGAGACAGGCCCGGGCAAGGTCACCGGTCATCGCCAGATGCACAGAAGGGCGTTAATTACCGGCGCTGAGCCCTAGGCAGGACGGCACTGCCTCGGAGGGTACAGAACCACCTCTGAGGGGCCTTCTCAAGACGGGAAGGGCACTTGTCGGCTCCAGGTGGGACCGCGGCCCCGTGGCCTGCGATACATTACTTAACATCTGAGTTCTGATGGAGCCGCCTACGTGTGGCAGCTGCGTTGAGGTCTAGGGAAGTCTGGTCCACGCAGCTCACGTTGTAAAGGACTGTCCGCCCTTGAGCAGAACAGAGTCAGCACCGTCCTTCATGTTTCAGATTAACTGGCTAAGAAACCCAGTCTAGCGTCAGATGTCTGGGAAGTGCCAGGCAAGATGCTTGAGCTTTAGATGTACTGTCTCATTCCTCCCTGTGAAGTGGGGGCTGTTCCTACCCTCTCCTCCATTCTATAAATGGGGACGTTGAAGTCCAAGGAAGAGAGAGAAAGAGAGAGAGAGAGAGGAAAAAGAAAACTTCATGTAATGTCACACAACCAGTAGAGCCAAGATTTTGAACTAGCCTTTTCACCTCGCTATATTACAGGATACAAAGTTGTGTTTTATCCCATTAGTTCATTTTAGACAGGAAAGCAGAGAAGGGCTATTGTACGAAAATAGGCAAGGGAGACTGTAGTCCACCCATACACAAGATGCCTGCGGAAGTGACTGTCACAGCGAGGTCAGGAGATGGGGATGAGGCAGAAGCAAACAGTGGTGAGCGCAATGAAAGGAAGAGCCGTGCTGAACCCCCAGGAGACTTGAGCGTTTCTCAGACATCGCTAAGGAGTCCGAGGACGCACACGGCGCGCCAGTGATCTCCAGCAAGAGCCCGAGCCTGGGTGGATGTGGTGGACGTTGACTTGACCTTGAAAACTATCTGATTCTAAAACTCTAAAATATTTACTTTGGAATCAGAGACTCTTGGGCAGGGGTATACAGATTGGAAGTAATTCTGATCTGAATTACCAGTAAAGAATCAAATGAGACAACAAAAATTCAAGTTGGTGGATAACTCTTAAACCCTTAACCCAGCAATATATTAGTATATGAGCCAGGTAGATGCTTCTGAGAACACTGACATAGCTCACTGGACCATCTGATCCAGTGAGGGAGCAAGGCCGAGAGAGACCGAGCGGAAACAGGCTGGCTCAGCCACGGGGCCTCGTCTCTTCCAGGGAAGAGAGCATTAGAGACCCTCCCGACGTGCACTCGTGTTCTCCAGCTGTGTTCCTGTGAGCACACGCAGGGCAGGAGAGAACAGAGCACTGCGGAGCCAGCCCAGGTGCATTGTTACAGCAAAGGCAGAAAGAATCCCTGACCCACATTTGGCAAAAAGTCAGGATGAGGAACGTGGGAGAGACCCTCAGGCTCAGTGTGCACGTGGTCATTCACACGGTGTCCTAGATGCTGTTCATGAAAACAGGCCTTTGTCATAGCAACGCCAGTAACTGGAGACATCTGACTGTCCTGCATCCTCCCCTGCCCCACCCCAGCACAGCCAGCCAGTGTGGGGTCCTCACCCCACCCCAGTGCAGCCAGCCAGTGTGGGGTCCCTACCCCACCCAGCACAGCGGGCCAGTGTGGGGTCCCTACCCCACCCAGCACAGCCGGCCAGTGTGGGGTTCCTACCCCACCCAGCACAGCCGGCCAGTATGGGGTTCCTACCCCACCCAGCACAGCCAGCCAGTGTGGGGTCCCTACCCCACCCAGCACAAAGCGCTAGAGCAGGGTCCTCACCCCACCCAGCATGGGGAGCTAGTGGCAATAAAAGTATTTTCCATTTGCAGGCACTCTTTTCTGCTACTTGATCTCATTTTTCTTTTTTTCCACCTCCCCTGTCCCATAGCTATGTTGATGGGAAATAAATGGCCCCAGTTACCTTATGCTCGGGGGTAACTTTAGTGCAGGATGAAGAGCTTGGGCTGTCCCCCGGGTTCAGATCCTGACACTTGCCTGCCTGTGTGGCTTGGAGCATGCGTCCTTTTTCCTCATCTGTGGAGGAAGCAACCGGCCTCACGGGGCTATTGAATGGTTAAATGAGACCAGCCTGGCAAGGCCTGCCGCACTTACTGTGCGCATAACTATTAGCTGCTCTTAGCATTCTCCTGTTGTTCCTTAAGAGGTTTCACTTTGACATTGGGTTTGGCCAATAGTAGCTCCAGGTCACTGGAAACTGAGGACAGCCTGTGGCTCATGTGTGCCCCGCAGGGGGGCGCATTTGCTCAGCTTTACCCAGGCTGGCGTCTCTTCTTAATGCAGGGCTGGCCTCGGTGTCACTTCTGTGTGTTGATTAGGAAATGGATCAAGGAAACGGACTTGCGAGTAGTGTAATTATGTGAATCCCTTCTCAATGTACTCAGATCGGGGCATTCTCTCATATTGCAACATGCCTGTGGATGGAAAATTGTAACTAGAAGGAAAGTGCTTACACATGGCAGGCCTTCGGGGAGGGGCAGGCGCCTTGAGCCTGGCACGGGCCCACCTGTGCACGGTGTGAGTCCCCACCCCCACCCGCCCTCCTGTCTCAGAGACCGGAGACCTGGCTGAGACGATCAGTGCTTCCTGTCAGAGCGAGTCCGGTCACTGCTGGCCTTGTGTGGGCCGGGAGGGGGGCTGGGGGGGGGAGCTCTCACCATTTCAGAGCTGAGTTACTTAGTGATGCCATATCCTGGTTCTTGGGAGTCCTTTTCACTCGGTGACATTCCTATTCCAGGTGCTAAACAGCAGTGGAAACTTCCCTAAAGTAGATCTAGAACTTACCTTCCCCAAGACAGAGCTACAGGGAGAGAAGGTCCTCCGAGACCAGGCCTTTTCCAGAAGGGGCCGAGCTGCGGTACGAGGCAGTGAGTCCGGCTCATGCATGTCCCTCCCGCCCCTGTCACCACAGGGTTCTCTAAACATCTGCTCTAAAGAGGAGTTTTTCTCTTATCTTCCCTAGCGGCTGACCGGTGTAACTGGGCTCAAATTATGTCTTTAATATAAGTCAAGTGCCCACACACAGAGTGTTTGTTTAAAATTAATTCATTCTAGCTCATTCCCTCAACAGATATGTGCATCCTCTTTGTACTTGTGCAAATCATTGGGCATATACTGTGAAAAAATAAACCCTATGTGGACAGAGATCACAACTAAAGTTAATGAGGGAGATAGGCATGATGCAAGGAAACCAATAACCATGAAGTTATACATTTTATTCCTGAAGGAGAAGAGTGGCACTATGAGAAAATAACCAGGGCAATCAGCTCCGGATTGAAAAATCTGAGAGGGCTTCTTTGAGGAGGTGACATTTAAGCTAAGCCTGAAGGAGGGGGGAAAATCAACTAAGTAACATTGGGGCTCAGGGCATTTCAGACAGAGGGAGCAGCGAGGTAAGAGCCCTGAGCATGCACCATGTCCTGTGAGCAATGGGGTAGCAGAGAACAGCAGGGACCAAATCCTGAGTGAGGCCCAGGACTGTGATTTTGTTCTAAGAGGACACTGTGGCCAAAGCAGGATGGTGATGATCCAAATTATGTTCTTAAAGGCCTCTCGGGCCACTGGGTACCAAGTAGATTCAAAAAGAGCAAGAACGAAGGCAGAACCCCACAGAGGAGGTCATGGTCACAGTCGAGATGCGGAGGTGGTGGCAGGGGGTTGTGGCAATGCAGACAGAGAGAAACGTGCTTGCAGGCAGAGCTGGGACCTGTAGGGCACAGGGGAGAGAAGGTAGAGCCCCCACCCCCTGCACTTTCACGTCTGACTGCGCAGCTAGCTATCCATCCACCTTCCTCTCCAGGTTACTCAGTAAAGTTACAAATCTTTCCTTTCTTAACCAGCTTGGTTTTGAGCAAAGCTTAGGGACTCAGCTCAGTCTTGAATCTGCAGCCATGACCTGAAATCTTACACGTCACTGTCTGTTTCACAGCCCACCAGGACTTCCTCCGAAAGCATCTATTCCAGACCAGGCTCCAGCATCCCAGGGTCCCCGGGCCACACTATCTATGTAAGTCTCCACTTCCGGAAGGGACTTCCGGGACAGGCGCGGTAGCCCGTCGTCATAGTGGATGGATAATGCAAAATGGAACGATTCAAAACGACTTCTGTTTCTCTTCTGAGACCATTTTCATTTTTGTAGATCAGCCTTCTCAATCATGTACTCCTTCAGGAACTTAAATTTATCTGTGAACCTGATCATCCTGCGCTATCAAGTAGATGATCCATAACGTGCAGAAATACGATGCAGGACTTAAAAACTATTCTACCTAGCTTACAGCTAGATATTTGGGGATTAATTATACACTTTATTTATTTATTTATTCATTTATTCATTTATTCATTTATTTATTTTTGGTTAATCCTCACCTGAGGATATTTTTTTCCATTGATTTTTAGAGAATGGAAAGGAGGGAGGAAGCGAGAGAAGGAAACATCAATATGAGAAAAACACATTGTATGGTTGCTTCCACACACCCCGACCAGGGCCAGGGATCAAACCTGCAGCCCAGGTACATGCCCTTGGCCAGGAATCGAATCTGAGATACTTTTGGTGTGCAGATCAACGTTCTAACCATTGAGCACACGGGCCAGGGCAAATTATACACTTTATATTGAGTATTCTTCAATTCTGCCACCGAGGTATTTAAGTATTTAGTTATTGGTTAAATATGCAGTTATTGATTTTAGCCAGGTGGGAGTTTTCCTTCTCTGGAGTAAATTTAGGGAAATACCCTGAAGGTGTACAGGCTTCTGTACTTGATGAATTCCATATAGACTTTTTCCTAAGCTTTTGGTGACTTATAGATTTAATGTGATTAATATATAAAGGGCAACTTTCTAGAGTTCACCTGTGCTAAGCTAGGTGTTTTGTTTTTGTCTGTTTTTAAGGTTGTCACTTTTTGAGCACGTAATGAATAGCACAACTAGCAGTTCCCCGGAGGTGAGACTGCAGAGTAACCTTTCTCTCTGCTCTTTGCCAGGCAAAAGTGGACAACGAAATCCTGGATTACAAGGATTTAGCAGCCATTCCCAAGGTCAAGGCAATTTATGATATCGAACGTCCAGATCTTATTACCTATGAGCCTTTCTACACTTCCGGCTATGATGACAAGCAGGAGAGACAGAGCCAGGGGGAGGTAAGAGGTTCCTACAAGTTTCGAGTCGTGCAACAGCTTACGTCTCTTTTGTCATGTGTATAAGAACTACCGATTGGAATCCAGGCCAGTCAGAGGGTCCTTTTGATCGCACATTATTCACAGCCTTCCATCCCAGGTGCTTTAAGGTCCTCAAAAACCTGTGCTTGGCCTCAGGAGGTTACAGAGAGGCAGGGGAGCAGACCAACCACACGAAAACCAGGGGAAGGATGAGTAAGCATTCGTACCGGGTGGTAGGATAGAGGAGCTGGCCTGTTGAGAAGGAGGCCAAGCTCACAGGGGAGTCTGTGAGCTGCCAGAAGGAATAAGGCAGGGAGGGTCTTCTGGGCGGGGGTGGCGGGGTGGGGAGGTCTGGTCTTGGGGCCAGCTGAACTATGTTTATGGGGATCATGAGGAGAGAGAGTACACCCTGCAATTTTGACAGCTGCAGTTTTTAACACAGGGTGATAATTAGTATGTGCAAAAATAGAAGAATTTCGAGAGATGGTGCCACGATATAATACAGGCGTATGCGCCAGGGTTCTGGAATCAAATCACCCGGCGTAACCTGGGGACTGCACATGCTGGTTGCATGACGTTAGCCATGTGACAACCATGGTGACCTAGTTTCTTCACCTGCACAACAGGGTCATGACAGAATCTCCCTCCAGGTGACAGTGAGGGTTAAATTAACTACCAGCTCAAGATTAATATATATCATATCTAAACAATGTATTATCTGTGAACGCTCATGTATATGAACTAACCTTTTGTAGCAGTTAACATAGAGCGAGGCCGGCGGTGAATATTCAGCCGTGACCGTTGTTACTGTGGTTTTACCTGTCCCCTAGGGGTGTGCTAATGCTTTCCCAGCCGACCATCCTGCTGCTGGGCCAGCGCCACTGAGCCCAGGGGCCTCCCCCCTCCCCGCCAGGGCTGGGATTTTCCTGCTGTCACCTCCTACCCAGGTCTCTGGGCTCTGCTGTATTTCCCCTGGACTAAATTATTCTTCCTTCCAAATTTGTTCCCCTGTTATTAAACCGGAATCACGTACACAGTAGTTTGAGTTCACTCAGATATACGTTACTCAATTTCTGGTCTGAAATCAGCCGTTCAACCAAGGTGGAAACGACTGTACATGTAACAGCACACAGTGCCGTGCGATCTTAGATGAAGAAAAGGCATGAAAATGGGATTTTGTTTAATTTGTTCACAATTATTACATAATATTTATTTTGTAATTATATTTACTTACAGTCCTATTCCTGTTTATTTAGAAATATCATATATTGTTCATTGTTGTTTATTTTCCGATCTGGGTTTTACTCTGCAATTGAAATGGTTGGTTGGGCAGGGAAAGTGATATCCGTTTTCACGTAGTGCCATCTAGTGGTCAAATAGGCGTAGCTGCACCTGCGGCCACTCAAATGCAGCTGTAGGAGCAACTTGATGATGTATTTATTCCTTCAGTTATTAACACTTCCTTCATAGAATCCTTATACTGCCATTCTAGAAACACCGGAGGAGTAAACTTGAAATTCTGGGTGCCTTAGAAAGCAGGGCTAGGGCGGAGCCTGAAGGTGAATGGTGGTAAGGTTGGCAAGGCCACCAGGGCAGGATGCCACAGACCTGGTCCTTACAGGCCTGTTTCGGTCATCAACCCATTGTATGTGATTGCTGTGCTTATCATTTGGTTAATAATCATGTTCACTGAATCCTGTAGACACTGTAACTCAAAGCAGTAAACAGCACTGGTTAAGCATAGAGGGGGAATAACTCCCATTTTTCTAGCTCAACCACATGTATTTATCAAAACCCGTGGTTCTTAGGCAGAAACATGCGCCACAGTCACCCGGGAACTGTGTGCCTGCCGAGCCCCACTCTCAACTCACTGCATCAGGAACGGGGGCAGGCAAGGGGTGCTGGCGCGTGTATTTGGAATACTGTTTCCAGGTGATGCTGACATACAACACTGACAACTGACAAGTTAATAAACATAGTGATTTTTAATTCTCTCTTATTCTTCTAGTCGCCAAGGACTTTGTCTCCTACTCCATCCGCAGAAGTAAGTGCCATTCTTGAAACTTCTAGTGGGTGGAGCTGGGGAGTTGCTTGGACCTGTCCTAGCCTAGGATTTGGGGGAAAAGACATTAAATAAAAGAATAGAAAAACTGTGCGCAAGATTATGATGAATTAGAGGCCTGGTGCACCTGGGGGGAGGGGGGATCCCTCAGTCTGGCCTGCACCCTCTCGCAGTCCAGGAGCCCGTGGGGGATGTCTGACTGCCACGGAGGCGAGAGAGGCTACCACCACTGTGCTCTCCAGCCATGAGCCCAGCTTCTGGTTGAGCGGTTCACCCCCTGTGGGAACGCACTGACCACCAGGGGGCAGCTCCTGCGTTGAGCATCTGCCCCCCTGGTGGTCAGTGTGCATCATAGCAACCAGTCATTCTGCCGTTCGGTCGATTTGTATATTAGCCTTTTATTATATAGGATGTAGGCTTCCTCGCAGGTAAGATATGGTTATAATACACAGCAGTAAAGTTCTCTTTACATGGAGACTGTGGGGTAAAATCAGCCTATGGCCTGAGCCTGTGCTTCTGAGTGGTAGGAAAGGTCTACAGGGAGTGAGGCCACTTGTCCCAACGTGAGGCTCTCTCCCCTTATCCATAGTTACTGACCCAAATCCTAGCAGACTGGATTATCTGAAATGGCCAACAGTGGTCATAGTGTGTCCTATGAACAGCCACCTTCATAGGAGCCCACACCTTTTAGCCTAAAATAAATTATTTTTTCCCCCTTCTCTGGGTAAACAGACTTTACAGTGGCTGTAGTACCGATCTCCAAAATATAACAACTCCCCCACACTGTACCCCACATCCCAGTGTCAGGAGTTTCTAGGTTTACCCTCCCCCACATTCACTACCTAATTGGTGACCAGTGGCTTTCTGTCGTCCCTGCATAATTTTCCTTTGCGGGGTGGCTCTGAGACTAGTGGCCTAAGCTCAGACCAGCCCAGACCCGAGCATGGTCCAGCACCAAGTCTGCCCCAGCCCTTTCTTTCATTGTAGCCATTACAGCTAATAACCAAGGGACTGTGTGTCTATTGTGCTTTCTATTATTTTGCATTTCCTTATGTATCCAGTGAGCAAACTCCTCCGGAGTTAGATCTAGCCCCACCTAAAAATAACAATAAATAAAATCAATAATCTTGTCTCAAAGCCAAGCAACTTTCTGGATCTTCTACATAAAACTAAACTGATCTTAAGTTATTGCTATAACTTGATACAGGAAAAACTCGGTAGTATTCTGATGGTCTGTGACTGCGGCCTGTGAATAATCAATTTCTATTAGCATTCTGATCATTACAGCTGAAGTTATGAAGAACTGACTTCTCTTATTGAATGGTTGCAAGATTCAGGCACATTATCTGGGGACTTTTTGTTTCGTTGTTGTTTTTATTTGATTTATTGTGACAGCCCGTTAGGATCAAGCCAAAGCCTCTTGCCATGTGCTTTCAGATTTCACGCAGCCCTGGGTGCTGAGGTGTTAACATAGTCATTGCTCACACACGCTTCCCACCTTCTACTGTGTAAGCAGAAACTTCATGGGTCAACAAATTCCTGAAATGCCAAGCATTCTAGTACTCTCGTCATCCTTTAAATAGCGATATATTATGTTGATGCGTGGGGCTTTTTGCCCTTTATACCTAATACATTATTTTCTAGACTTGGACATGGGTGACATGCTGATGGTGTTATTGTGCCCTCATTTACTTAATTGCTCCCTAACTTGCTAAGCATGTCATACAAAGTTTTCTCCTTAAAAATGGTGTTATTTTAAATATCTTTGAGTAAATTCTAAAGATCATTTAAAGATATTTTTTTATTATTTCCTTGGAATATGTTTCCCAAAGTCGAAAGAATGACTGAGGCCACCACCAGCTTGTTCTCTGGGAAAATCGGCTTAAAATGTCACCAGATGAGTGTTGTGGACACTGTGGGCTGGCGGTCAGAACAGGGGCTGAGATTGGAGCAGGAGGTGGGCTCTGAGGCGGGCTCTGCCTGTAAGAGCTACACTCGTACCCATGGGTCTCTTACCTTCTCGGAAGCTTCTGGAACAAGGGGAAGCAATAGCATGTGTCCCGCCTTCCTTATTGTGCAGGTCTGATGAAACGATGTATGTGAACAAACGTCATAAGCCTAAAAAGCCCAACACACACGTAGTCATTGGAATGACTCCCTTATCCCAGAGCTCTGCCAACACTGGAGTCTGTCATGCCTACTTGTCAGAATTGGGGTAAATGCAAGTACGACAGGTCTTGAACAGAAGGCATGAACCACGGATGCTCGTCTGCGTGATGTTTAAGGACCAGGGCCCTGAAGTGTATCCATGAGCCCCTGGGTAGCTTTCGTGGGACCCGACATCACTTGAACGTGACCGTGGCCGGAGTGCACGCTGTGTGCCCACGCTTTCTCGCACTGTGTTTCCAGGGCTACCAGGACGCTCGGGACCGGATGATGCACCGGTCCACCAGCCAGGGCTCCATCAACTCCCCGGTGTACAGCCGCCACAGCTACACTCCCACCACGTCCCGCTCTCCCCAGCATTTCCACAGACCTGGTAAGGCCGCGCTCCCAGGGTTCTCTGTACGATAGTCCGCGTTTCTATGTGAGGCTTTCTCCCCGTCACTGAGAGCTGGCTGCCGAATACTGACCCCTCTTCCAGAAAAAAACCTCCTATTGACTATAGTTTGTGTTGCATCTTTTCTTGAAACAGAGTTACTTTGTGGTTATATTCATTATGATTTATTAAATAGTTACATTTGGACAGGGAACGACTGTAAGCAAAGAAAGGTGTTTTGGGGTTTGTTTGTTTTTTTTCCTTTAGTCTTGAAGAAGTTCTCATCCCTTTTAGACTTTAATGATCTCCAACAGAAACTATTTTGATGTACCTTTTAGGCACATTGGCCTCATCCAAGATCCAGTATTAGCCATTTGTTGGTGGGTTTATTCCGTTTCTCTTCTCCAGGCACGTGGTGTTACCGAGCATGCTTGGTTAAGCACCTAGAATAAAGTATTGTATATAAGCTCAGGGTTGTATATTACTTTTATGATACATTCCAACCCTAAGATTTTGAATCAGACTTGGAAAACATTAGAGATATATTGTGAGAGAGAATATGAAATTATAACAGACTGCCATTGACCTTTATCTATGCAGAATTTGACTCCTGTTAGTGGGTGTCTCATATGGGGAGTAAAAAAAGAATGGGGGATCCCAGCACAGATCCAGAATTGCCCAAGAAAGGGATTCCCAAAGGAAGACTTGGGCCTTTTGAACAAACGCGTGGTTAGTGATGACATGCATCTATGAAAACTTCATTGTAAGTTTCTTGCTTCTGCACAACTAATGAGGACAGACCCCCTTATATGCTAAAATAAAACCAAAGGAAATGAATAAAATGTAAAAGGATTGCAATCTTTTCTCAAAAGCCATAGATTTAATGCTATTAGAGGAATGAATTTTTATTATTTGATCCTTCCGTAATGTATAGTATTTTTTCTAGACTCAATACTTTGTTGAGATACAGTCATTTTCATATTGAAGTTAATGAGAATTTTCAGGCAATGAATTCCTTTCTCTTTTCATGTACAAGTATATTCATTTCATGTGTGCCCTGGAGCTGGGTCTGGATGTAAGCCTTTGTCCATCTGGGTGGCAGGAAATCCTTTAAGCTGCCACCCTGTGTGTGGGCATGTTGCTGAGGGAGGTCACTGAGACCCCACCAGGACCTTGTCAGAATGACACGGGGCTGCTGGGAAATCGTTCCGGAGCCCTCTGAAGGGGAGGGAGGGGTCAGTCAGGGGCAGTGCTTCCCTTCAAGGCCGTGTCCTGATTGAGCACTCGAAAGTTTTCATCTGTCCCGGTCACGGTTCTAACGTCAGTAACCTTCAGAAATTCCCCCTTCTCCGTATCCCTCCTTCTCTCCTTCACAGTGTATGGCAGATATGTGATGCCATGATCAGGGTTTCTAAGCATTTTTTCAAGGTCTGCCCTAGTGAAGTGAAGCTGGTGTGGTCCTGATAGCATAGCTGTGGTCTGTATAGGGTGGGGAACGTCTGGCCCGCGGGCCGTGTAAGGTTCCCCAAATCATTTGGTCTGGCCCTGCCAAGGCTTTAGGGGCGAGTTAATTAAATGCTGACCACACAGCAGGCTAATCTTTAAGTTGGTAATTTTGTATGGCCCACAAATGACGTTATAAATATCCACATGGCCCTTGGCGGAAAAAAGGTTCCCCACCCCTGGTAGAGCACCTCAAGTTATCCACTCTGAAGGTCCTAGATGCCAGGCGAGGATGCAGGGCCCCTGGGCCTAGCTTTAATGTCCGTCCTTCTTCCAAGAGAGAACAGCGCTGCCACTACCCGGTTCTCGGGATCCTAAGCAGCTCTTAGCCACCCAGGGAACACAGGGCTGGGGTCTTTTTCCTGCGTCAGCAAAATAAAATTAGACTTCCAGGGGGAAGATGTGCAGCTTTAAAAAGTGAAAAGAATCTGTCTCTTATACATCAGTCCTTCTTTTCAAGGTTCCTGCAATGACTGGCACTTTTTGGACATGTGCTTCCGAGGTTCTGGTTTGTCAGTTGCTTTTAAAAAATAGCTGTTTTGGGGTCTAAATGATGTGCCCGGTACTGGCTGACCCATACCTGGTGGCATCCTAATGAAGGCGGGGGGGATCTTGGTGGCCATTCCTTCTCGCTAAGGCCCTTCATTCTCAGAGAGCGCCTCTGTACCAACCTGAGCCTGGGTATCTGCAAATTCTCCCCACTTGCCTAACCCTTAGCAGGAGCTTCCTTAACCCTTTTGCCTTCCTCCCTTTTCAGACTCCTGATGAATGATCTTGATCCTCCCTCTGCCCCCCGCCCCCCCCCCACTCCCCTTGGAATGATGCCTGGTCCCTGCTCCTGTGTTAATTTCTGTTCTTCTCTTCTGTTTCCACCTCGCCCGCCCCGCCTCCTTGCCGCCCAGAGCTGCTGTCTCCTGGTGTGCAGAGGTTGTCCTACCTGCGCACCAGCAGCCTCAGCTCCGCACACAGCGACTCCCGCCCCAACTCCCCCTTCCGACACCACTTCATCCCCCAGGTCAAAGGTAAGGAGGCAGGCTTCCAGGCAGCACCGCCTGCTGGAGAGTTATTAGCACCGGGAGGCTAATAAGGCGATCTCCAAGGGTCAGCCCGAGCTCCCCTGGCATGCCTGCCTGTGTGGCGCCTGCGCCAGCCGTGCCTTAGAACTGGCATAGCACCTCCCGGTGGAGAAACATGTCACTTCTAAGGGCCCTCGATCAGGAAACAGGAAGTTTGTTTACGACCGCAAGATTGATCTAGAACATATATATTACTATTTTGTTTTTCTGTACGTCAAAAGCAAAATATAATATATAGTTGGGGTATTTGCCTGGTTTTAATATGCGACGTGGCTCAGCAAAACCCAGCGGGATTCAGCAACAGATATTCAAAAGCCGTCCTAACGGTGACGAGCCGCTTAACCACTTACCGATATCAACAGCGTTTGGACTTTATAGAAAGCATCGACGGCGAGGGAACTTAAATGTCTAGGTTTGAGCCGACCGAGTCATCTTCTGTTGGCCTGCCCTGGTGTCTGCATGATGGAGGAGCGAGGCTTTGCCTTCTGAACTCTGCTCCTGTCCCCCATTTCTGCCCGTCCCCTTTATGGCATTCCCACTGTTTCCTTCATTGTCCTTTAAGCTTCTGTAGCAGCCCTCCACGGGGCTCTGTTCCACTCCATCCGGCTGGGGAAGCCAAGAGCCCCAAAGGAATAAGGCAATAAGCAAGTGTGAACTCCCACAAGGAAGCTAATTCTTTCCATAGCCTTGATTTAAACCAATGAAAGGAGCTAAAAGGGGAGGAGCAGGCAAGCACAGATGTGGTCAGGGGTTTGAGCCAGTCCTGAAGGATTCTCACCTGGTTCCAAGTGCTCGTGTCACTAACGCTTCTGTTGCGTAGCCTAAACGCTGTTATATTTGAAAGATCGCTTGCAGTCTACTCAAGCTATTTCGTTTTTGCTCGCTCGGATTTTTGAGAATCTGAGTCCTAAAATACAGATGTGTTGTGCTGATCAGCATGTAATCATTATATGTGTGCTATGCTGGCATTTTCTGTGCCGTGAAAATAACATTGCTGACATGCTTATTGAAGACACACACTATTTGCCATTAACAAAGAGACCCGTCTTTTTTGGTAGATGCAGCACTTTCTAAAATTCTCAACAGATTAAAGTGGTCTTGAGAGAGAGAGAGAAAACTTTTTTATGTAGATGTAAGATGATACTTTAGACAAGTTTATAAAACCATAAGAAAGTATTGAAGAAACTTCAAAGATGTATTTTAAAGAGACTTGAATATAGGAGCCCTTGGCCAAATCAAGATTTTGTTTGTTTTTAATACACCAGGGAAAATACATTTTTAATTCATTGAGATATAAACGGCCTTGTTTGGTTATGTTTCCTCTTTCAGAAGGGGTACTTTTCGTAGAAAGAAAAGGGCCATGTGCCCTGTAAGGTTATACAAAGTTTGTACAAACAGCACATCACAAAGTCTCCTATACCTTCTGTCTGTGAGCAGCCTTAGGAGAGATGGATGGCCCACCCATAGGGACACTGGAGTCCTGGGTGGGGTACTCTCTCTGTCACTAGCCAGTGTGGGACCTCGGATGTTGGCTTGACTTTGAGTGTTACTCGCCTCACCTGTGAAACCTCTCCTAGGTCACTAGAGCGTGTGAGGTCAAGTGCCCCGGTGTGTGTAAGCACCGAGCTCAAGTGAGTCTTCGGTGCCCCCTCGGCTTGGTGCTCTTAAAGCACTTTCCGTCTTCCTTTCGCTCTTCACAGCGTCTGTGACGTAGGCCCAGAACGGAGATGGAGAGCTGCGGCCCTGGGTCGGCGACCCGGCCAAGGGCTCACAGCTGGCAAGTGGCAGCTCCAGGACCAGACCCCAGGCCTTCCCATCCCTCACTCAGATGAGGTGTGTGCATTTCAGTACAAAATAGACATAGAGTTTAACTCTGATTGTCCACCTCTTCTTCACTGGAAAATCGAATTCTTACTGAGGGTAAGACAGACAGCTACTTCAGTCATGTAAATTACAAAATTAGCAATTCTTTTACTTTTTAATGGAAGTATCAACTGGTTCTAAAAATTACAGCACCTCTGTGTGTCTAAGTGGTACTGTATTAAAAAAAAATATGGATATACTTTTCTGTTTTCAGTCTGAATTTGAAGTTTTTGACACAAGTATTATGGATTTAAGTGATAAACATTAGGCTAAGAGGGGTTAGCATGACCCTGAACTTATACTTAAAAACACCTGATAATCTCCCATTTTCTTTTCACTGCACATATACCTGTAGCTTGTTCATATGACAGAGTCTATAGAAAATAAACTAAAAAATATAGAAAATGTAAAATATAATGTACATCACAGTATATGCTCAGTTTTAAAAGTCGATGAGCTTTTTACCGAACTACAAAATGAACCATGGGGAATTTGTACAGGAACTATAAAAGCCTGGCATGGTTGCATGGCTAAATGCTGATTCTCCAGAGAATTACTTCTTGGTTGTTATGAAAAAACATCTACCCATTCACATGGAAGGCCTCTCCCGCTTCTGGAAATTCCCACGTGGAGGGAACTCATGGCCATCGGAGAAGCACGTGGACGGGGCACCCCAGGCTCCCACGGCCCTCCATTGGAACGGTTCCTTTCCTCTTGGAGCTTGTGTTGTGGTCTCAGGGGAGTTTTGAAAACAAATGTAAGCTGGAGAGCTTGAGGCCCCCAGGGTAGGATGACCATCCGAGGAACGTGCAGCTAGAAGGGAGGGCCCTTCCACTCTGGCAGCCTGAAGCCCAGCCCCCCAGGGCCCAAGCCCACTTCCTGGTCCTTATCTCTCATGCATGCGGCCCGGGCCCGGGGTCTGCGGAGCTGAGGGTGCCTGCTCGGGTGTAAAGCTGAGATGCGCATCACAGGCTGGCTCTGTCTCAGTGGCTTCCCCGTCCACTTCCTGTAGCCTCTGTCTTGTTTCCTGTGTCTTCTTTTCTGTTTTCTGACCGTCCTTGCAGCCTCATTCTGGTATGTCATTGTTGGGTCATTTGGGCAAGTGCATGCCTGGAGATTTGGAATCTTCACTCTGTTTGGATCTGTTTGTGCTGTGCTTTCTGCGTTTCTCTTCCCTCGCTTTGAAATACTGTGAGACATTACGTTCTGTGTCCACGAAATATATCAATCAGATGAGTGGCTCTGGCTCAGGCAGCGATTGGACACTCGCTGAAGGGAGCCATGACACTATTGAAGCTTTAGACAGGGACTAGCGATCTGGGAACTGTCATGAAATTCTAGATGCTGTCAACTTTCAGGAGCCAATCCAAGGATTCATGTGAAGGAACAAAATGGCTGGGAGTGCGCTATATACAATATTATGTGATAAATACACTATTACATCATTTGTCAGCAGTGCCTTCACTCTGGGCTGGTAGGTGATGATGATGACGATACCTTCATATACGCTATTTCATCTGCTGCCTCATGCATTACTTACGTAATAAACTAAGCACAAAAATAACCTTTTAGGGCCTCATCAGTTATTTCCTTCCAGGATAGAGTTAAAAGTTTTATCACTTGAAGGTAGGGTATTTAACCTAGCAAAGTTGGAAACAGGCCTCATCTTGAGAATATTTCTTTTTCTTTGAAAAATGACAAAAGTTTTTCATGCCTTTGGTATTCCAAGGGTGAAGCACATGGTACCTAGCAGCGCTGTGTATGCTGAGCCCTTTTTCCAATGAGCCCTCATGACATGAAGAAATCATATGGTACAGAGTCGCTCAGATGGGCATGTTGCTGAGTCTCTCTTTACCTTGCTTTAAACCTTTGTGGGAGATTTATTTTATTTATATATTTTTTATTGATTTCAGAGAGGAAGGGAGAAGGAGAGATAGAAACATCCATGATGAGAGAGAATCATTGATTGGCTGCCTCCTGCACGCCCCCTACTGGGGGTTGAGCCCACAACCGGGCATGTGCCCTTGACCGGAATCAAACCTGGGACCGTTCAGTCTGCAGGCCAATGCTCTATCCACTGAGCCAAACCAGCTAGGACTGTGGGAGGTGTTAGATGATTATAGAGTTAAATCTACTTACAAAGACTTGAACACATGAGGGCTTTTTCTAGGAACTAGAAAGGTCAATGGTAGCTGAAGATATGCAGCCAAATAAAGAACTGTGCCCAACTGGTGCCAGCGTTCGGCTGGCATGCACCCTGGGAGTTCAGAGAGTCGTGGGCCGCATCTGAGAAGGGATGGGCTTCTACGGCCACTTGCCAGCAGAGCACCTTCATGAAGGGAAGATGTTTCATAGTCAGGCAAATGCCAGTTCCAATAACCTTAAACCCTGTGTCCCGTACATGCAGATATTTGTGGGTGCACATGACTCTGGCTAATAATTATCAAAACAAATGTAATGGTGTTTCTTGTGATTGGACATGATAGCCCACACCTGCGCAAACATTTCCCTGAAGTGGCTGATGTACAAGTGCAGGGAGGCTAGAGGCAGCGGGTGCAGGGAGGAGCAGTGGGGTTCAGAAGCAATAGCACCCCGTGCGTAAGGTCTGCAGAATGAGTCTTCAAAAAACCAACCTCAAAGAAAGCGAGAAAGTTGAGTGTCTCTAGAACTTCTTTGGAGAAGAGCCCATAAGAAGTATTCTGTTTTTTAATGATGGGTCACTCTTCTGGATAATCCCTAATGTTTAGAGGAGTCAAGAATTCCCCTGAAATGAAACAGTTAAATTGGGGTTATTGAGGATCGGCTCTAATGGGAACGTTATAAAAACGGGGTGCGATTGTGATCCCATCGCTGCCTTTAATGAAGACAAAGATGGTGGCTAACCCTGCAGTGGTGCTCACCACATTAGGCCATGAAGAGCTGCCGGGTTAGTTCGTTGGCCTCCTTCAATCGTTCATTCACAGACATTTACTGGGCACTCACTCTGGCCAGGCGCTGTGCTGAGCACACAGATGAATGAGACCGAGTTCTAATTCTTCCTTAGATTTAAAGTGGGATTTTCTTCTAAACATAACGCAGAGTCTCCCTCCCCTGCTTGCTTCTACCTGTGTTAATAATACTCATTTTTTTCAGACAGGAACCGGTTGCTTCTTTTTAGGAGAGTGATAGTAAATGAGATAGCGTTTTTTGAAATGAGTTTTTTAATACATCGCAGTTTAGAGTGAAGAGTCATAGTTTTTAGAAGCTAACGTCTGACTTAAGTAGTAAAGTCTAATTATAATACATTGGGAGCTAGATGCTTAAGTGACTTGAGGGGGGGGGGGAGACAAAAGTTTCAGAATATGATAACCAAAAACTTAGAATATTTATTTGAGCCAGTTAAATTCAGGTTTCACACCTGAAATATCGTACTGCCCATTTGGTACAGACCTGTGCTCTGGTTACCTAAAATTGCACATATTGAGAGACTCAAACTATGAAATGTGTTGTTTTGAAACTCCAGCAGTTGACATCTTTCATTTTCTGCTGGCCAGATTTAGAACAGTTTGGCCTAACTGAGGAAACTGGCTTTTGTACGTCTAAAATTAGTACAGTGTTATATGTCAACTATGTCTCCTTTTTTTAAAAAAATTAAAAAGATGGTAGAAAAAAATCAGCTCTTGCTATATATTTTTTTAAAAATCTATGATTTATTTTAAGCTGTCATCATTAGATAAACTGATCTTCATCAAAATTTAAAACTTCTGCTTTAAAGGGCTATCAAGAAAGTAAAAGACAACCCACAGAATGGGAGACAGTTCTCCGTTCACCCCTGCAGTTCACGTGGTCAGCAGGGAGGGCGGAGGCAGTGGTAGCTCTCAGGGCTCCTGCAGCCACGCCCAGCGTCCTCTCCACACCCCTCCCCATTCTCCAAAAACACCACGCTTTCCAGCCAGTGGCCAGCCCTGCTGCTCCCGCCCACTGTGCCCTCCCATGCCTCCTTCCTTAGGATGCTCCAGCCTTCTGAAATCTGAGCATCCCCACCCTCTGCCCACCACCCACCTGGCCCGCGCAATTCTCATGTCTTTCTGTCGCTTTCCTGAGGAATCGATGGTGCACACCTTTCTCTGAGTGTCATAATTTTTTCATATGCCTCTGAATACTATGGCAGGGTATTGTATTTATGTGTCTTAAGTCTGACTCTTTAGGTCAACAGTTCTCAACCTGTGTGTCGCGACCCCTTTGGCGGTCGAACGAGCCTTTCACAGGGGTCGCCTAAGACCATCCTGCATATCAGATATTTACATTGCAATTCATCACAGTAGCAACATTACAGTTATGAAGTAGCAACGAAAATAATTTTATTTGGGTCACAACATGAGGAACTGTATTTAAAGGGCCAGAAGGTTGAGAACCACTGCCTTAGGTGGACTCTGGCCCCTGGAGGGCAGGGACTAAATCTCCTTCATCTACTTATCCTCGCTCATAGCTCAGGGCCCAGCCATCCCAGCTGTCCAGTTATTAGAGTGGGTGGTGCCTCCTCTTTGTAGAGAAAGATGGAGAGAGGTATGCGTGGTCCACAGTCCCTGGAAGAAAGGGGCCTGCCTCATCTGGTGTATTTCAAAGAGGAAACAGAAACACAAGCTGCAGGGAAGGCATTTGGGTTGCTCAGGGCAGGGCCGGGTGACCACACAGGCTCTCGGCCGTAGCCTTCGTTCAGAGAAATGCAGTCCAGCCACCAGCCTCTGTCATCACACCTGGAAGGCTTGTATTTGGGTTGCCTATCCCACTCCTTCACACGCTTGGGATCTAACCAGCTAACAACTGGTCCTGAACCATTACCCGGTGCCTTTCCATTCCTCGTACCGAACGCCCCATCCGATCAGTGCCCTGCCTGCTCACAGCTCAGCCACATGCCTTGGATGACGTGCCTAGCTGCTCGCTGCTTTACCACCGTGACCTGAACTCAAACCTCTCTTACGGGAAACTAAACCTGATCCCCCCTTTGCCAGCCACGTTGCTACGTTGAGTTTGTTTCTTTCGTTCCTCCTTTTTTGACGTACCTCCTCCCTGTTAGTGATTTTGAAGTTTTATTACGCTTGCTCGGTTTCCTTTATTGCTGTCCCTTCTCTCATTTTGTTTTCTCCATTCTTCTCATTGGAGGCAATGAGCCGTCCAGCGGCCGGAACTCCCCTCTCCCCCACCGGCCAGACAGCCGCCCTCTAACTCCAACTTACGCTCAGGCCCCTAAACATTTCCATGTTCCAGGTAGGAGCTGACGCGGTCTCTGTCATGGTGTCCTGTCGCAGTGTAGAATGTAGCCTTGTCACCTCTGTCTCGTCTCCATTGCTCATGCTCTTTACATTGGGATGTACAGTTGGCAAACCCTAAATTGCAGGATCTGACCCAGGGGGCCTTTCAAAAACGTTATGTGTGGACCGCCAGGATGACATTGAAGGGTTCGGTTTTCCCAAGTTATTTTTTTTGTTTGTTTTTTGTTTTTTGTTTTTTTTGTAAATATATTTTATTGATTTTTTACAGAGAGGAAGGGAGAGAGACAGAGTCAGAAACATCGATGAGAGAGAAACATCGATTAGCTGCCTCCTGCAAACCTCCCACTGGGGACATGCCCGCAACCCAGGTACATGCCCTTGACCGGAATCGAACCTGGGACCCTTCAGTCCGCAGGCCGACGCTCTATCCACTGAGCCAAACCGGTTTCGGCTCCCAAGTTATTTTTGAAGGGGTGTGGGAGGCGGAGAGAGAAGGAATGAGGGTTTGAGTTGTGTTGTTTTTACTAAAATTTTAATTTCACCTTGATACCAGCGGCTCCTAAGATACCACGCTGTGGCTTGGTCATTGACTAATGAGCACAATGGCGATGCAGTGACCTCCTTGTTCTAAAGATGGAACCACAGCGACACTGCGTGCTTTTCTTTTTCCTGTGTCTCCGACCTGGAGATTCTTCCCCCGGGCTTTTCTGAGCGGAGTAAAACGGTCTCTCTACGCATGTTCCTCACTAACCACCCCCGGAGCCGCAAAGGGATCTTGCAATTTAGGCGTGGTGCTGCCAGCTTCGCTCTGCGGTCGCAGCACCTGTGTCACAGCACGAACAGTCACTGGCCACCGGAACTGGGAAAATCAGAACCCGCCGGCATCGTCATGTTTAGGCTCAGCCCTGTTTGCAAAGGCAAGATTGGCCATCCGAAGTCCGGCATCATTTTTCCGTGGGAAGCACATTGTTTTGCTTCTTTTAGTTCCTGGAAGTGGATTAATACATGACCCGTTATGTTCATGCTAGTATACATAGTTGGGATCTGAAATCGGTTTTTTTCCTTTTGCATTCCAAACTGACCTAATAAAACAGAGGAAACTTCATTGAGATTCATTCCACTAAGCTAGGATTGCCTTTTTTAAAAGTGCCATTGAACCTTGAAAATCAATGTTATGCAATTGAGCGACCCTCCCCCCCACCTTTTTTTTTTTTTTTTTTTTTTTTTTTTCACGAAAAATGCCCCACCAAGATGCAGTGCCCAGGGTTCTGGGGAAACAAAGCTTTTGACATTTCCTGAGTATTTGTGCTCAAAGTGAAATGACAGCATAATCAACGGGGTCCTGTATAAATATGTGAATAATATTTGGCATCTCAGTCTTTAAAAAAAAAAATTGGCCTCTAGGAGTTAGGCAAACATCCTGATAGTACATCAGACTAGTTTTGCCCATACAAAGTGTTTCTGTGTTTAAAGAAATTACTCCTAGTTTTTCTACATTGCTTTCCACTGTTCCATTCATTAGTTGAGAAGGAAATTGAGCCACTGGTATCTACTGGGAGCTCAATTTCTAGACAGTAGCATTTTGGGGATTTTCCCCAAACTGGTTATGTCTTCCTCACCGTAGAGTATTCCACTGCTTGCATTTCTTCCTGTTTTAGTCCCACTTTTAGTGAAATGTGTATTGGAAATAAATGGCCCATGAATTAATGACATCTCTATATATGCTAAGATGTATTACAAAGGATTTCACATCACTTGGTGTAGTGATTCGCTCATTCCTGTAATTTCTGCTTCCAGTAACACCGCTCTTTGTAATACAAAAGTTGACCGTCTGGGTTGTATTTGTTCAAGAGTCTTCAGTTTGGTTTGCCTCTTGCTTGTTCTGTTTTTCCCATCGCGGAACTGGTTCCCATAATCACACACCTTTGCTTTTCATTTCCACAGATCAAGGGATCAACATTTACCGAAAACCACCCATCTACAAACAGCATGGTAAAACCCACTTCCTCCGTGTTAGCTTTTAAGTAGCAGCGTCTGCTGAACTTCTCTTTGCTGTCCTCTGAAAGGCTTATCAGCTGCTGCTTTCGAGAATCAAACCGGGGTGCCCAGCGAATTGTGCCTTGATGTCCTCCTGAGATGCAAACAGTGTGAAATTGGGGTTTCTAGAGGGAGGAGGCTTAGCGTGGTCAGGAAGCTCCTAGCTCATTTCTGAGCCCATCTAACCACGTATGGTGCCATTCATTGAGCAGGGGTAGGACTAGCCACACAGTAACTCACAAACACCCTAACAAGACATGTTTGTTTTTTCTCTGCCATTTAATAATTTAACTAACCTCTGTAACTATTTTGATCAGCTTACAATTTAGCTAATTAAAACTAGTGAAAGCCAGCTTTCCGGAACAATTAATTTGACGAAGCCCTATCAGCTTGGCTGTCCAGTTCCCCGGTTTCTTCTGTAGCGTGAAGACATCTGTGCCCGGTGATGGAGTGGACGGGACACACACTGACTCGGAGTCCTGGCCCTCGTCCCCGCTCCTCCCCTCCATGGCTCTGTGATTTAGGATGTCATGGACACAATTCCTCTGTCCCTCCGTTTTCTCCAGTCTGTGAGTTAGGCTAGTTTGTCTGTGAAATGCCTGCAAGCCAAGAATCACTGCTGTGGATTTAGAGTGGTGCTTTCCTTGTCTGGGAGTATGGAATTTTGAAGCCCAGGAAATGACCTCACTATGTGTAAATCACACCCCCCCCCCACCCCACCCCAATTAGGTCTCTCAGTATTTATCTGCCACCAATCTTGGTGAATGGATTCTTCTAAAGCCAAGATAGGTCTTTAAGTGATTTCAGAAAATTATACACAAACTGTGCCCGGAAATTTGAAGGCTGCCTTTAAAAGGTAATTGACATTAATGAGTCCTTAAGGATTAGGATGACACGAAAAGCAAACAAAGTCAAAAAAGCACAGGGGGACATATTTAGGCCTACATTCTCGGGGGGGAAAGAGAATGTATGTATTGTAATGTTTGTGGAATTATGACTTTCTTCTTCATTCTGTTTTTTTTTTTAATTTATTTAAGATTTTACACCACATGCTTGCTTTTTTAAGTTTGTTAACATTGTTTTTGTTTTTGTTTTTGTTTTTTTTATGGTTTAATGTCTTGTCACCCACTCATTAACATATGAATGTTTACTGACTTCACCAATTCTAATGAGTAAGTACTGTTTGAAATCACACTTTCTTTTCTTCCAAATTTAAGAATAAGATTCTCAGTTAGATTGATCCACTTAGAGTCTTTTGAAATACTTGAATCTTTAGGCCCTGCCGCTCTAAACAAAAATAATCAAATGACTAAGACTAAAGATGGAATAATGTAAGATGATTTATTTGGAAGGGATTAATTGGCTTCTTTTCTTGAAATTTACTTTGACTTTCCTCTTTTCCTTCAGACCGTTGTAATTAATTAATCAATTAGAGTAGCGCAGCCAAAGCAGCACGTCCCAAAGGACATTCTGCAGAACAGGCAGTCCATGCAGTAGAAACGGGTCCTACAGAAACCTGGTGTCCGCCCTGGTGCATTTGGAAAATGCTAGGTTTAGAGGAAGGCACACTTTTTTTTTTCTTTTTTGTATACAGAACTCAGCCTTTACTGCACTAACACATTCTGTTCTTCTTTAAGAAGAGGGTATTTATGCAGTACTTTCCAGCCTGAATTTTTTTTTCTCATGAGGTTAATGATTCAGAGAAACACTCTTCCAAGCCTGGCCAAGGCCTCGTTCCTTATTATTGCAAAGGACGACCTTGGTCAAGTCACTTCAGCAAATTGAGACCTAGAAGTTTTCAATAAGAATGAGGACTGGGAGCTGACGATTCAAAGAATTGTATCCAAATTCAACAAGCTGTGAGCCCTGGGAGAGAGGACGTTTTACTTAAAGCAACATAAATATTTTGAAATGTTTAGTAACAGCCCAGGTCACTTGGCAGAAGTAGGAGCTGAGCTTGCTGGGCTCCATCTCTGATTAGATTTGGGGCTCTAAGCTGCCGACGCTTCCTCTACGCAGAGCCATTCAGAGCCCTGTGCGGGCCTGGTGCTGCCAGTCTGGCCCCTGTGTTTTAAAGTTGGGTGATTCACTTGTGTGTGCAGACTCTTTTCTCCTGGGACTCAAGGACCCATGTACAAGGGCCCCCAAAACAATGGGTATACACCTTCACAGCTGATAGCTCAATTTTGAAAGTTGTAACTGCCTTTATCATTATTTGAAGTGCGTGTATACATTTGGGGGGGGGGCACCCCATATAGTATAGAAGTACTACAATGAACTGGAGCAGTATATTTTTGGCTAAGAAGCCAAAAGACAGCCAGCCCGCTTATGATTAACAGCTGCAGTCAAATGACAGTATCGTGCTTTTAACTCAGCTCTTTAATTTCAAGTGACTAATTCAGATGTCTAATTGCTCTAGGAGTTTGTCCCAATAGAAATTTCTAGGATGCTGGGAATGTTCTATAACTGTTGTCTAATACAATAGGCAGTAATCACATGTGGCTATTGAGCACTTAAAATGTGCAACTGAGGAACTGAATTTTAGTTTAAAAAATTTTTTTCATTTAATTTTTTTTAAGCCTCACCCGAGGATATTTTTCCATTGATTTTTAGACAGCGTGGAAGAGATAGGGAAAGATAGAGAGAAATATCGATGTGAGAGAAGCACATCGATTGGTTTCCTCCTGCACGAGCCCCAACCAAGGCACAGGCCGGGGAGGAGCCTGCAACCGAGGTATGTGCCCTTGACTGGAATTGAAGCCAGGACCCTTTGGTCCACAGGCTGATGCTCTATCCACTGAGCCAAACCAGCTAGGGCTAAGTTCATTAATTTAATGTAAATTGCCACGTTGCTAGTATTGGATAGCAGGCTCCAGAGCAGATGTAGAACAGGTGTAAAATGAAGCTTTGTTTCTGGTAGAGCATCCAACGAGCTGAGCTGTCACTGGGCACCACTGACCGGGTAATGGATTGATAATGGCTATAAGCAGAGCTGTCTGGAGTGGAAACCTTTGCCAGAGAACAAGACCCTGTGAGTGGGTTGACCACCACGGCCTTGCAGACCGGTAGCTAAGCTCCCCCTGATTCCGCCTAGATGCAGCTGCCTTGGCAGCCCAGAGCAAGTCTGCAGAAGACATCATCAAGTTTTCCAAGTTCCCAGCAGCGCAGGCGCCAGATCCCAGCGAGATCCCAAAGATTGAGACGGACCATTGGCCTGGTCCCCCCTCACTTGCCGCCGTAGGTATGCGACTGTTACAGCTAAGCCAAATGGACAGGTTGCTAGGAGATCTCAAAGTGCAATGCTTAAAAATATGCCAGGTTTTTAAGAAAAGTACGACCAAGAAGAGGTAGAATAGTGGGAAGAACTAATGCGGTATTAATGTGTGTGCAAAATGCTTCCAAGCTACCAACACCCCATCACCAGAGCCTTGCTCTAACCTAATCACCAAGATGCAGAACTGGTCTAAAACGGATGATGCGCACGGACCCTCGGAGTCATTACCGCTAAGTCGGTAACTCTTTTGAATGCCATTGAATCAAAGCCTCTTGGCAAGAACATTGTTCTATGTAATTAGAAGTCAGCTGGTGAATTAACCGAGGGTCCATGGAAGCATGGCTTCTTTCAAATTTGTTTTAGACTATTTCTGCTTGTAATTGCAGTTCTCTTAACAGCTAATCTTAACCCTGAGCACTTTCACTTTCCTTACGAGATCTCGTTCTCCGTTTCTAAGGAGGGCTACTACAGAGTCACGCATTCTGAAATGACGCGTGTAAAGTTACGTGATTTTACATCCTTCATGTCCATGATTCTGTGCTCCGATGTCACATTTCAGCTGCTTCATTCTTTGCTTTGAACCTCAAATGTATGCTCTAGAATTGTGTCTATGTCTTTCTTTACTGTTTTGTCAGTAGTGAAATCATTTGGCCTAAAAAGTGATATTAAGCAAACTCAGACGCTAATACTAAAAGTTTAGTGGGTTGGACATACAAATGTGACTAACTTATCACATTTATGTTGACAACCTAAAAGGCCTTCAATTTTCCAAAATTTCCAAATTGTTTTCCTCATGCTATTTTTTTATCAATTTACTTTTGGAATACCTTTTACAAGCACTATACTATGTAGATTTTAAAGCAATTTATACATATAGAAATAGTCGAAGGAAACCCATCTTGGGTTCATCACTCACAAGTATTCTCTACACGATGTTGCCTTGAGATATAGCTGATTCTTGCAAACTTGTGTTTATTCATTTTTATCAATATAAAGAGAGAATACTCACCTTGACTTTTATGATTTTAGGAACTAAGAGCCAATCATATCAGCTTTTCTCTGCCAGGCAGTTCGTGGGGACCTTGAGCTTCCCATTTCAGTCACATTGCTTAGTGGGGTTTCTACCGCAGCCAGACCCAAAGGGGCCAGGAGAATTAACATTTTGTTGTTGAAACTGACATGCCTAAATAGTTTAAACCTCTTTGGGGTTCCAAAATGAAGGCAATTTCTGGCCCATTAATCAAAATAAGAAAAACTGAGACGATTAAGGTTTGTTTTGATTAGATTAGCAAGCTTTCCTGTTTCCTCCCACAGTCAGATTATCCAAGCAATTTAGGAAAAACACTCATTATCTTAATTTTCCAACCATTTAGACCTATTCTTCCTTTCCACCCTCTGTCTCCCTTTACCAGGAAGCTTAAAAATTGTACATGACTTGCTATACTGTACCAAAGGAAGTAGCTTTTTAGCTCTATTGCTGTAGTGAGAATTTTTATTGAGTTTTGATCAGTAGAAAGCTTTTTATAATCATTGTTCAAAGGGCTGAGAAAAAGGAAGCATTAGAGACCCATCCCTACATAAAAAGCATACTTGTTATTGAGTTTATTAAGGATGAAGACAGAGTGATATTATTATGGCAACCTATCATTCAGCAGAAGAGGAAACTATAAGATTTTAAACCTTGTCATAAACGAGTGACTATTTAAAAGCATGTGGATGAATTTAGATGTCTCTCTATTTGAAAATTGACCTCAGGGACATTGAAATAAGTGTAGATGCTCCTCCTACTTACTACTGAGAGCTCTAACCAGGGAGGACTCAGACCCCATCGCAGTGGCAACCCCGAGCTCTAATTGAGCAGACCAATTATCGGGCGGCCAAATCTAGGCTTCACCGGATCCCACATTCAACCCGCTTGTCAAACAGACCCGCTGTTGGGAGAAAGCAGCCAAGTAGCGCTGAGCTGGCTGTAGGCTCCTTTTTCTCCTGGTGCTGTTCACTCATGGTCAAGACCACTGCCGACCGTGGCGGCCTGGCCAGTTGAGCCCAGGTGGACTAGTCCCGTCCAGTGCCCCTGCCGTGAGGCTAATGTCAGAAGTTGTCTTTGCTGTGGAATTAGGAGCTGACATGAGACGCAGATCTAGTGGCAGAGAGGAAGACGATGAGGAACTCCTGAGACGCCGGCAGCTTCAGGAAGAGCAATTAATGAAGGTTGGTCCTTAAACTACTTCGCTGCAGTCTTCCATTCAGTTGTCTCCCGTCCATATTTCTGGAGTGACTACTATGGGCAAGCCACCAAGTGGTGCCAGCCCTCAAGGGGCCTTCTAGTGGTTGTCATACAACAGAGTACTGAGTGGGTGCTGGAAGAGGTGACCTGAAGGCTGGGGGTCAGAGGGCCGTGTGATGGTGTGGGCTTTTGCAAGGAGAGTGAGACCCTGAGCGGGCATGTGAGTGTGGTACCTGTGTTGAAAGGATGCCGCAGGGCCCAGTAGAGCCAAGGTGTACACCAGGTTGTTCAACACCTTCCTGCCCTGGTGCAGGCTCTCCTGAAGGAATTCCCTTGGGATTGAGCCTTTCTCCAAGTCTTTCCTCGGGACTCATGGGACCTTGTTGTCTATCTGGGCCAGGGGAGAGGGGATGAAATAGACTGCCTCTAAGAAGCCCTCATGGGCTTCTCTCTCACATGGGCCTACAGCATCCAGAAGACCAAGAGAAAGGCAATTATAGCCTGGGGTGGAGGGGCCAGGGCATTATAAACTCTCCCTCCAATGAGGAACTGATGAATCCCTTCCAATGACATTTTCCAAAGATGCTTAATCACATGGGCAATGCACATGATACGAGTTATATGAATAGATAAGATGCAGAGTTGCATTTATAGTATGATCCCAGTTTTTGTATAACATGTGCCTAAACGTACTGGATGGATATAAACCAAAATGCAAATGGGTGTCTCTTGGTGGTGGGTTATGGGTTACTCTTCTCTGGGTTTTCTAAAATCTATACAATGAGCAAGTCTTACTTTTTTTTCCTTGTTTTTAAACACATTAGTGTCATTTCTTTTTAAAGGCTACTATTCCCAATGTCCCCTTCCTACATCAAAACTCCACACACACTCACACATGCCTGCTGAGGTCACCTGCTGGCACTTTGGGGGAGAGCGAGGGAGGGAGAACACCCTTCTGACATGGAGCCTGACAGGGAAATGCCAGCCTTGACATTGAAGAGGCTGAGGACTCAAGGTCCAAAACCTGTCCGAGCTCCAGAGGCACCACCAGCCTCTGCGACTATCCATCCAGGCTTTGCCCGAGTCGGCACTTCTCACTGGACCTTCTAAAAAGGAAATTTTCCATGAAAGTAATTACGGGCTTCCCTTCCATTTTTCTTTTCTTTGTGAATAGCTCAACTCAGGCCTGGGGCAGCTGATCCTGAAGGAAGAGATGGAGAGGGAGAGGGAGAGCCGGGAGAGGGCAGCCCTGTCAGCCAGTCGCTATGATTCTCCCATCAACTCAGGTGAGAGCAGACCCACCACCTCCCCCGAGCCGACAGCCGGCCACCTGCCTGCAAGGGCCCGGCCTTGACCTTCCGGGAGAGTCAAGGACATTTCTGGTGGAACCCGCAAGGTGTTCTCCAGGGAAGGAAGTGTGGGAAACCCACTCCATGTCAGCGTAGCTTCTAGGCATGTCATGGCTCTTCCTTAAATGTGGGTTTCCTTTCTGCTGCAAGTGGGGAGCCCTTAGAGCAGCCGTGGGCAAACTACAGCCCGCGGGCCGGATCCGGCCTGTTTGAAATGAATAAAACTAAAAAAAAAAAGACCGTACCCTTTTATGTAATGATGTTTACTTTGAATTTATATTAGTTCACACAAACACTCCATCCATGCTTTTGTTCCGGCCCTCCGGTCCAGTTTAAGAACCCATTGTGGCCCTCGAGTCAAAAAGTTTGCCCACCCCTGCCTTCGAGGAAGTACCTTAAGGACACAAGGGTTCAGGTTAGAATAGTCATGAAGAGGGAGGCAGCATAAAGGGAATTCTTAGAGAGAACAGGAGAGCACAAACTAGACTTTCTAAATGTTGTAATTTTACATTAATGTGTTCAATACAGAGCTGAAGACTCGTGGTGTTATGTTTGACACTTTTGAAAGACATTACTTATATATTGGCTATGTCAGGATAGTTTCCCCTGCTTATATTTGTCAAAAGCCAATTCTCTCTTAACCCACAAGATTTTTCCTCCCATGTTCTGAACTAGTGCCTGCTTTCTTCCCCTTCTGGTTCTTTAGAAATGTGTTTAGTGTTTACTGTCTGCAGGCATTTTTGCTAAACATTATCTCACTTAATCTTCATGACGTGCCAGTGAAGTAGGTAATATTATTATTATCCCAAATGTGTAGCTCAGGTATAGGAAGTTGGGGTAACTTACCCAAGGTCACGCCACTAATAACTAGCAGAACCTGGATTTAGGAGTCCAGGTATCCTACCCCAGAGCCCACGACCTCAACGGGGTGCCCTGCCACCTCTCAGATGCTCGCCTGGCATTGACCTTGGATTGGGTAGTTACTAATCTTCAGAGTCCCAATCAACCCCACCATTATGTTCTGTAAGAATATATCGCACTATACCCACGTGGGTCAGAAAATGAAGACTTAAAAAGATGAAGTACTTGCCCAGAGATTCAGAGGCATTAAGTTGCAGACCCAGATTCAGGCCCAGGTCTGCCTTCCCCAAAGCCCAGCCGTTGGTGAGGCATCCACCCCAGGCCTCCCAGGAGCCCAGTCCGACTGATAACTTACATGGCTGACTTTTGGGTCAGTGTTTGCCGCCATATCACCTGAGGCATGGGCTTATGCATCCAGAGAGTCCTGGGTTCAAATCCTTGCTCAGCTATTTATAAGCTGAGTGACCTTGGGCAAGATACTTAACTTTTTTTGGCCCCTATTTCTCCTCCTGCAAAATAGAAATAGTAACAGTGTAGTTAGGCTTGTATTGAGGACTCAGAGGTAAAGAATCCCCACCCCATCTCCATAATATCACCCCCCACCCATTCCCTGCATCACCTAATAGGCTGGTGTTTTGTGAATACTTCAGACCAATATTATTTCGATTATTTTTTTCTGAATCTTCTATTCTGCAAGGTAGAAGATACACTGCCAATTTCATTGAAGAATTGGACTTCCTGTTTCCTAACAGTTGCTTTTTTACCTCTTTCTCACTTAGCTTCACACGTTCTGTCATCTAAAACCTCGTCTCTCCCAGGCTATGGAAGAAACGGGCTTCACCGGGTAAGGTTTCCCCATCAATCACTTCTGAGTCAGTCGTGGTCGAAGTGCTGATGTATCGCCGGAATACAACTGACGCGGTGATCTCGGTGTTAGCACATAATGAAAATTGTAATCTCCCTGATCTCCTAATAAATCACTTGGAATTATGGGCAAAATATTTCTTTTGAAAGAAAGGGAAATTGACTTTGGATAACAGAATAGCTTGTGTAAGTTTATGGGAAGACTAGGTTAAGTAATAGGGTGGCAAATATTTCTGCAATCAAGCAAAACACAATTATTAGAGCCTTTATCTCTGCTGTAAATATATATATATATATATATATATATATATATATATATATATATATATATATATATATATATATAGGAAAGCCCAGCTGGGGTGGCCCAGGAAGTCAGCGGTTCGATTCCCGGTCAGGGCACATGCCCAGATTGTGGGCTTGATCCTCAGGAGGATCCGATCGATGATTCTCATCCATCTCTATATCTCTCTATTCCTCTCCCTTCCCCTCTCTAAAATCAATAAAAAATATATTTTTGAAAAATATATATAGGAAAGTTTTTTGCTACCTCCCTCCCCACAACACATGGGATAGATGTAATTCTGTGACTGTGTGGAGAGACATTTTATTATGTATCAGCAAGAGGTACTTGCTTACCGAGGACCCGCTGAGTAGCGGCATTGATTGTACCACCAAAAATAGAGAGATCTCATGAAAGTAGAAGAAGTAGAAGGAAAATCGTGAGGGCCTAGGAATTCAGTTTGGGAAGAATTCTTAGGTTTTGCAAATCCTTCCTTTTCACCTGACTCCCAGACGATCGCTGTGCAGTCGGTTTTCTAATACTGTGTTTTTTCTCATTTCAGCCCGTTTCTACAGACTTTGCTCAGTACAACAGCTACGGGGACGTCAGCGGGGGAGCGCGAGGTGAGGGTGCTGCGGCCACACTGACTGACCATGGCTGAGGTCAGGCACAGGCCGTGCAGTGACAAGCACATTCACTGGGTTCATGCTGCCTTACGTTCTGAAGTGGGATCCCACCCCCACTCCGCGAGCTAGCAGAGCATTTGTTAACATTTCGAAGGATCTCTAGTGACATGAGACCAGGAGAAGTGAGTTTGTAAGAAGCAAGTTTGTAATTGCTTCTGCTGAGCACTCAGACCCTTGGAGATCCAGTGATGGATGGGCCTACCTTCCAAATGCATACAGCTGAGCCTGGCTGGTGTGGCTCAGTGGGTTGAGCATTGTCCCATGCACCAAGAGGTCATGGGTTCAATTTCCGTTCAGGGCACATGCTCTGATTGCAGGCTCAATCCCCAGTAGGGGGTGTGCAGGAGGCAGCCGATTGATGTTTCCCCCTCGATGTTTCTCTCTCTCTCTCCCTCTCCCTTCCTCTCTCTCTAAAAAGTCAATGAAAAGAAAAATCAATAAAAACATTTTTAAAAAGTGCATACAGCTAAGAGAGGGAGAGAGAAGCTCTTTGTGATAAATGCTATGATTGGAGACGCAGAGAGAAGGCAGAAGCGCCTTCACGGTGCCAGGGAAAACTTCTGCAAGAGAAGGGTGTTTAACTGATAACTGGAACCTGCGCAGGCATTTCCTGGCTTCAGGGGGGCAGACAGACGGGCACTGTACCGTACAGAGCGCCAGAGCAGGGAGCGAACGTGGTCATTGGGGAAAGTTTGGGCAGTTGCAACAGGACAGTCTCTGTATTAATGTTTCCGTGTTTCCCTGCTGACAGTTCTTTTCTCTTCTCTTTGCAGACTACCAGGTACGGAACACTGTCCCTCTTGAGTTGGCCACGCCAGCAGAACAGCCATGTTTCAATCCAGATGTGTGCTGCTGCGGCAGGGAAGGGCTTCTGTTGAGAAGATGCTGATTTGGGTTGATCTGTGGAATCGTTAGTCCACAGCTGTGAGAAGCCAGGGGAGCAGGCATGCCTGTGCACAGGTCCACTGTCCCCGCAGGCGGGGGCCGTGGCAGGAGCCAGGCCAGTGTCAGAGCACCGTCTTGCTATGGCCTTGAAGAGTCCTCTCTCGGGGGGATGTGGCTCAGCATCAGGGTCTGCCCATGTACAGTGTATTTTCCCCTTTTTTTAAATCTCCATCTGTGGATATTTTCCATTGATTTTAGAAAGACAGGAGAGGAGAGGGAAAGAAAGAGAGGCATGGGGGAGAGAGGGAGGGAGAGAGAAACATCAATGTGTGAAAGAAACATCCATCAATTGCCTCCTGACCGAGGATCGAACCCCCATCTATGCAGGTGGCCTGATTGGGAATCAGATCGACGACCTTTTTGGTATATGGCCAAAAGGAAAGAGATGCTTTGCTACCATTCCTTTTTTCCTACCACCTAAACCTCAAAAATTATGACAGAGAATGAGAAAAGGAAAAATATACAAAGAAACGTAAGATAAAAATAAGGAATCAACAATCGTAAACTTCGTAAATCTTTTTTATATCCCATATACTTTCATGCTTGGAGCCTAAATTCAGGGACTAGTCACTGCAGTTCAGCCAGGCTATTTCCCCAGCTTGATTAGAAAATAGCAGTATTCCTGCTCTTGGGCAGCAAGGATCTCATTTTGGAAAGCCCGTATGATTACGATGCCCGTAGTGATTAAGATGGCATCTCTCAAGCAGTGACGAGGATTTGAGACCCAGTCAGGATTCAGGAGCCCACAGAGGCCTCCAGCTTCCCACGCAGCCTAGGGCTCCTCCTTGACCCAGCTTCTCTGTTGCAGACCCTGCCGGATGGCCACCTGCCTGGCATGAGAATGGACCGCGGAGTGTCTATGCCCAACATGCTGGAGCCAAAGGCAAGTGCGGCTTTTCCCTTCCCTCCCCCACGGGGATGCCTAGCCGGGAGGTAATCCTAGAAGACACTTGCTTTTCTGCCTTTTCCCCATCCTCCGTGGCGAGGCCTGCTGGGCTCTAGGCTGGTGCCCTAGGCAAGCCATGTCCCAGAGCACCTTGCCATCCTCGGCTCATTTCGTCACCCGAGTCAGCAGCCTCTCTGCATGTGCTGCTGCGTGCTCACAGGAAGTGCCAGTGGGTCTCCTGGGACCTTGGTACTCATGTGGCCCCTGCCATGAACCTACAAGGCACGCCCAGTGCTGAGGGGAGCCTCGGCCAGCTGCTCCAGTTGGGATGACCAGTATGTCCTAGTTTGCCCAGGACTTTCCCAGTTTTTGCACTGAAAATCTTGCCTCCCAGGACCCTCCTTGGTCCCGGGCAAACTGGGACAGTTGGTTGCCCTGGATCCAGAGGTGTCCAAGGGCCATGCTCCCTGGGGACCCTGGGCACTCGGCTCAGTGTGTCATCTGCCAGAACACTGCTCTGGGTCAGCCTGGCTCCGTGGATTCGAGAGCCAGTTTTAGAAGAAGATTGTTACAGAATATACAAAGCTATCCAGTTCTCTTCTGGTGTTTACCGTCATCCCCAGGACTTGGCAAATGTGTCTTCTTTCCCACAACAGAATCCCCAAAGGCACAGGCTACAGGGGGCACCGGGGGCTGTGGGGTACCTGTGAGAGCCTGGCACCTCCCATGTCCTCATTATAGTCTTAGGACAGTGATGGTGAACCTTTTGAGCTCGGCGTGTCAGCATTTTGAAAAACCCTCACTTAACTCTGGTGCCATGTCACATATAGAAATTTTTTGATATTTGTGCAACCATAGTAAAACAAAGACTTATATTTTTGATATTTATTTTATATACTTAAATGCCATTTAACAAAGAAAAATCAACCAAAAAAATGAGTTCGCGTGTCACCTCTGACACGTGTATCATAGGTTCACCATCACTGTCTTAGGAGCTCTGTCGGGGAGTCCTAGAGCTTCGGTCGATTCTGTTTGCTAATAAAATGATCCACGGTATTCTAGAAGAGATGTTTGTCTTCGCTTCTCAGATATTTCCATATGAAATGCTCATGGTGACCAACAGAGGGCGCAACAAAATCCTGCGAGATGTGGACAGAACAAGGCTGGAGGTAATGAAATAAAAATCTAGTCCTAATTGCAGCTCCCTGGGCATTCCCTCCAACTTTCCCCTAATTGGGAAATGTTTCTGTGAAGGCAAAAAAAAATTAAAGGACCAATTTCATAATGTAGGTAGAATTTAGTAATACCTTTGGAGAAAAACCCACATTTATACTTAAAAGATCAGTATTAAATACCCCCCCCCCCACCTTGCCCCCCAGGAAAACCCAGTATGATTTTAGTCCTTTTCTTTGGAAACTTGGTGTTGTCATAATTATGGCTGGTGGCGTAGAGTGGACTCTCCATCCCTCTTCCGATGGCCCCGGCTCCCTCCTTCCCCAGCCTCGGTTGAGCTCATGGAGAGGGGAGGGAACACTCAACAAAGAGGTTTGTATGAGCAGGTTCCCCCGGCTGCTTCCGCATTCCTTGCTGAGGGTTATCTGGGTACACATACCCAAGACCTCCTTAGACACGGAGACTGATCTTTGTATTTTTCCATCTGAATGATTTTAATTAAGAAAGGCCCTGGCTGCCAGCCTCGTAAAGAATGGCTCCTTTTCCCCGACAAAAGGCTGCACCTTTGTACCCAAGGTCAGCCTGGCACAGAAACTCAAGGCTCTTGAATCCTAAGAGCGTGTCTGGGGGGACAACAGGTGGAAGTTCTCTGTAGCAGGCCAGGCATCCACCCACCTCAACTCTGTGGCTGAGCCAGGAGGAAGCCTGGGCTCCCCACAGCCCACTCTGCAAGTCTCTCTGGCTTTCTTATTGCTGTGGTCCATTTTCTCTGCATCTCCTCAGCATCCCGAGGACCTGAAGTAGAGTCCCCTCCAGCATAATAAATCAGCTTCCTAGTCCGTCACCATTCAGTGCTGTTATAATGATCGTTAGTGTCGTGCCAGCCCTTTTGTCTGGAGGGCAGGGCGCCTCACCTGGCCACGCAGGTAAGGAAGAAACTAGGTGCGGTGCCTGCTAACCGGCCTCAGAGGTGTGCTCCTCTCCCCTCATTCTGCCTTGCTCTTCAAGACGGTTCCTTGTAAGCTGGAGAGCAGCTCCCACGGCCGCCCGTGTGGGCATCAGGACTGACCACCGTCTGTTCTCCCTCCACAGCGCCACCTAGCCCCAGAAGTGTTTCGGGAAATCTTCGGCATGTCCATACAGGAGTTTGACAAGTTACCTCTTTGGAGACGCAACGACATGAAGAAAAGAGCAAAACTCTTCTAAGTCCCACGCAAGACTCTTCTGAAGTCCCACATGTAGACAAGCAGTTAGAAAGAGGACTGCCGATGGCGGTGACGCATAGGATGTGGTATTAAGCTTTGAACTGGACGGGAGAATTTGCAAACTACTGCCCCTCAGCAACAACCAAAAGGGGGAAATCTGATTAAAACACCCACGAGCCAAATCCTGGGCCGACCCACGGCAACACTTGCCAAGAAGCCATGGGATAGAGATCTCTATGTTCCCACACTCGGCGGCAGCGCTCACATGTGACCTTTCACCTCACCTTGTGCACACAACAGGGGCCCCTTTCCTGGTTTCCCTTTCACTGTGGTCCGACCCTAGTGCTCACTGTCTGGGTAAGAGCCAGCAAGTGCCCTTAGGATGCCGCATGGAGCAAGCAGCTGTCGTCATGCCCAGTCTGCGTATGTTTATGATGTAGTATGTGGCTAAGAAGCAAGAGCCTGGGGGGCGTATCCACGTGGTAGCAGCCGTTTGCACACCCCTTCGCCCCGGCCTCAGTCAGCTCTGCTCCTGTGGGGTGGAACCCCGAGTGGGAACCCAGTGGCTACTTGAGTGGGCTGAGTAGTAGCCGGAGCCATTTTTAACCAGCTCCTTATTCTCCACTGTCACCCAGGCCCTGGTTTGCAAATTACTCAGCTTTTTCTTTTCTTTTTCTTAATTTTAAGGGAAAAGGAATGACAGGAAAAGCTCCATCACTTGCTTTCTGCTTCAGATAGTGTGATTCATGCGGGTCCCTCGTTGGCAAAGAAAGGAAAGGGGAAAATCGCCTCTAGATTGGCACAGGTGCATGCTGTCCAGTGATTCTTGCCCAGGGAACATAGCACTCTTGGGGGAAAAAAAGTCCTGTGCCCTCCCGATGCCAGTTCCCACCCTCCGCTCTGCACCTGGCATCCGCTGGATTGAATCTCGCCCTGGCTGGTTCTGGTTGTTTCCTAGGTCTTCCCAGTAGTCGGCTAAGGAAAGGCATGGTTTTCTGTTTGAAGTCTCTGCAACTCCAAGGTCGATGGCCTGACACTGATTTCCCGTGGCCTTTTAGCTCTTCTCCTTGCTCGGCACTGTTGACCCCATGTGTGTGCGCGCACCCACACGCACTGGGCCTTCTAACTTATTTTACAAACGGCTCTGCGGGGGTGGACCTGAGCAGGTCTGTTCCGTGGTCTGGAGCCAGACTGCAGTGTGTGGTCTTGCCCCTTGGTGTATCTCAGTTGCCTCTTGCTTCATTGGCTATTTCTGCTGCCCCCTCTTCTCTCCACCCTCGCCTGCCATTGGCAGCCTGTGTGTCCTAGTCCTGGCTTTGCTCTGGCAAAGTGTGGGGCGGGGACCACAGTGTATTCCCAGCATTTCCCTGCCACCATCAATAACAAGGCTCCCAGCGCTGGGCGGGTGGAGAGAGTGTTTGTCATTGTGGGGTCGACAAAGGACCCTCCGTGTTTTCATCACTTAATGAGTGTTGCCCCGTGCACATGCAGATCAAATACCCACGGCAGAGAAGCCGCAGTGACAGTTAAAGACCTGAGCCCAGAACCTGTTCCCACTCACTCAGCGTTGCTTTTCTTGTCTCTTTGGAATTTGGTTCTACGTCCACCTTGGGAGACAGCAGCGCTTCTTTCCATGTCAAGTGTGTGAGCAGATGTAAACTGCGCCAGGTAGATAGGCATCGCCCCCAAATGCAGCAGCCTCCTGTTCGCAAGCAGAGCCGTGCTGTGCTCTGGAGAGAGCGGGCATCGAACCCTAACGCAGAGCGGGCTCCCCAGCTCCCCTCCCCGCAGAAGGCTCCGGCCGGAGGGCTGGCCAGTAGGCAGCCTGCTTCTCCTGACTGCCAACCCCGGTGAAGGGCTCCCACACACCATCCGCTGTGTGAAACGGGCCCGTGTTCTCTGCCTGAACCCGCCCGCACTGCACATACACCCGTCCCCGGTTAACACAGTCACACGAGCAGGGATTGCTCGCTTCGGGGTAACACAAGGGCTACGTCTTTGCGCGTTGGGCTTCCTTACAATTCTTTCAGCGCTGAGCATGTAGGGGAAAGAGGCCTCGATGGCACCGGGAACAGCAATGCTTCCTTTAAAGATTCTTCCAGAAAAGCCAGGCTGCCAGGCAGGCCCCGTGTGATGCACGATGAGGCGTAAAGGGTTGGATACCCTTTCCCCACCAGCTCTGCCTCTGCGTTGTGGTTGGGTTAGTGATGAGATGTTGGGGATGCAGCTCCTTACATGACTGAGGAGAAACGGCCGTTCTCTGTCTGCAACCTGGGACGGAGGAGGGCGTTACGGCCAATAAGATGCACAAACAAAAGAAACCATGTTTCTCTGTTCTGCCCTCTGGCCGCTCTGCCCGCTCCACCTTCTGCGGTTTCCCAGCTGAGCCGAGCAGCAGCGCTTTGCAGCCCTCACCCTCGCAGTCACATTATGTCCATCAACTCCAGAGACGTTCTTGGCTGGAAACGTTTATAAAACCGTCACCTAATTTCTTTATACTTGGAAGCAAACACCTTTTTCTAAAGAATTGCTTCTCAGATGATTATATAAAATATACATGCTTTTGCTAGTTTACAAAATTCAAATTCACTTTGGACTAAATAGGTCTTTCTAAAAACTCTTTTACGCAAGCTTGGTGTTAGCAGTCCTCCTGTGTGCTGAAGGGGCAGGGGAAACCCCCCCCCCCCCAAAGGCTGTGGGCCCACAGGGCTTTCTCTCTGACGTCATGAATGAGGGTGGGAGGACCTGACCTCTATCCCCAGCCCTCTGTCCTCTGGGGCAGGCCCGTTTTTACAAATCACTCTTTTGTATTTCTGGCCACTGTTGGATCAGTACTTCCTAAGCCAGCCTGGATTTCAGCTGCTTTTTAAAATTATTTTCCTTTGACACACCAAGTGTTGGTCAGAATGCCCTAAAACTCACCCTTTAGTGCTCCCGTTCGGAGACCATTCTACCCGGAAAGAGATTCCTTTGCACGTGAGATTTGCAGTGACGCCCTGGCTTTGTGATGATGTACAGGAAGGGAACTGCCCGACTGTGTCCCAGTGAAAAGGAGGAGGAACTTGCACTTGGGCCCTGAAGAGAAAAATCACTCCTCCCATTTGCCGCCCAGGAAACTGGGGGGAGATGGTGACCGATCCGCTTTGCATAGGGATTTTTGTGTTTTTACTGGGCAAGTTTAATTCATGGCCAGCTCAGAAAAATGGGGGAGGTGAATAGTTTAGCAAGAAGCTTGTTAAACAATATTTGTGGACACAGCAAAATTAAAGTACCCTAAAACTCTGATGCTTCCCTTCACTGGATGGAGGATGTCATCGTCAAGTGAAATTCTCCCCAAAGTGTCTCCGAGTCCCTTTCTGAGCCTGCCCGCCAGAGGTGGGAGGAGATGGGCCTGGGACGCCGACATCCAAAAGGCTCTGAGCCGCTTCGTCCGCATCGGCCTGTGTCTTCGCCCTGCGGAGGAGACCGGTGCCACAACATCGATGTCCTGGGGGGGGGGGTTATGTAACAAATGTGTGTGTTCTCTGTGAGTTGCGGGCAGTCCTGCATCTAAGTTCTCCCGGTTCTTTTCCGTTTCGGTGGGCTTGATGGGATTGTTTTCGAGTGTTGGAAGGCCTGCTGTTCTCCCTGCCCGCCCTCCCCCTTTCTGAGCTAAGGAAGCTACCATTTGGAAGAAGTGCTGTGTCAAAGATGTGTCGTGTCCCCCGTGAAAGCGAGTGGCTGTCCGTCTGCACCCCGGGTGCCGCGTGCTGGTCTGCAGAGGTGGCCGGAGGCCCCCCGGGGCTGCGCCCACAGCTCTGACCTTCCCCTGACCTTCCCCTCGCTCCTGTTGCAACAGCACTCGCCCCTCCGCGCTGTCCCCCGCGTCTCTGTTGTACTCACGACCCGGTGAATAAAGTGCGTGCTTTATTCGTAGACGCCTCCATGCGTGTGTGCCTTCCTGTCCTGCTCCCTCCAGAGATCGGTCCCATCCGTAAAAGCACCAGCCCGACTTCCAATAACCAAAATGAAGTCAGAATCCAGCCCAGGCCTTAGGCGTGCATTTCTATTGTGTGGGAAGGCGGGCTGGAGTGGGAAGGGCAACAAAAGAGCCCTGGAAGCCTGGCCAGTGTTGCTCCGTGGCTAGAGCGTCAGCCCGTGCAAGGAGGGGCGGTGGGTTCGATTCCATGGGACAGCCCAGGGCTGTTTGTCCAGTTATCCCAACCATCGTGACGAAGTCGACTAGAGGAAAACAAGTTTTCATCGTGCTGCTGACCTGCCTGGTGTTTGCCTTTGTGACAATCTCGTCTTTTGGACAAGGCTGGGGGCTTGGGGAAGTTTGGGGACAGGAACTTCTGGGCTGCCCTGAGTGCGGGCCATTTTACTAAGAAACCAGCAGGCAGTGGGAGGAAAAGCTCCTTCAGATCTTGGACCTCCCCTGCATGATCAAATTTGAGGTGAAGAAACTTACAGTTTGATTTATTTGCTCTTCACCAAGATTTGGGGCTGGCCAGAAAATACAAGGATCTGTGTAGACTGGCCATGGCCTCTGCTCATAGCTGTTCTGCCGCGTCTGTCAGCCTGCTGTCTTGGTCCCTTTGGGCTGCTGGAGCGGAAGCCCATGGGCGGTGGCTTGAACAGCACACCTGTGTTCCTTACTGTTCCGAGGCTGGGAAGTCCACAGCCAAGGTGCGGCAGGCCAGGTGCCTGGGGAGGGCCTGCTGGTTGTAGATGCCGCCTTATCTGTCCTCACATGGGCAGTCGCAAGGAAGTAAGCTCTCCCATGTCTCTTCCTATAATGCCGGGGCTTGGGGTCCTTTTTTCTGCCCAGGGCCACTTGGATATCTGTAACATCACCTGCAGGCCGCACAAGATTATCAACTTAAGTCTTAGCCTGCTATATTTGGTCAATCTTTTTTAAAAAATATTTTTATTGATTTCAGAGAGGGAAAGGAGAGATAGAAACATCAATGATGAGAGAATTAGTGATCGGTTGCCTCCTGCACACCCCACACTGGGGATGGAGCCCGTAACCTGGGCATGTGCCCTGACCGGGAATTGAACTGTGACTTCCTGGTTCATAGGTTGACGCTCAACCATTAAGCCTCACCCACTGGGCTTTAGTCAAACATTTAACTGCCCCCTAATGCCTTGGCAGAGCTAGACCAAATGATTTCGCAGGCCTCATACAGCCTGGACATTCCCCACCCCTGCTAAGGGTACCAATTCCATCCTCCGGGCTCTATCTCTCATGATCTAACTGCCTTCCAAAGGTCCCACCTCCCAATCCCTTCCTATTGGGGGTTCGAGATTTAACATGAATGGGGGGCACACAAACACGCAGTCCATAACCCCCGTCCGGGGGCCAGTTGCACTAGCATTCAGTAGACCCTCACCCACAGCTGGAAGCGGGTTCTTATCAAGACAGTTGGACAGTTAGTTCACTGCTGTAGAAAACAGGTCAGGAAACCCCTCCTGGAGGCCCGTGTCCCACTAGCTTCCGCCTCCAGCCACACCAGCGTCACCACTTGGGTCCACAGTGACCACAGCCATGGTTTATCTTCAGTCCTTCTCTGGTGCTCTCCGTGGCATTTGCCACGATTGGTCACCATCGCACTGAAACTCGACTCCCTGCCTCACTCCGTGGTTAGCCCTCCCACACTCCGCAAAGCTCACAAAACTATGTTGGGAGCCCATCGCCCCTCATGACTGACCTTTGCCCGCCCACTGCTCAGCGTCCCTCCCAGAACGCCCCACCTTTGAATCTTGCTCTCCAGCACCTCCAACCCACTGAGCGTGCCCTGACAGCACCATGCCCTCCCCCTCTGCAGCTGGGCCCACGGCATTTCGTCTGCACAGTGTCCAAGGCTTCAAGGAGGTTGAGCGCAGAGAGGATCCGGCCCCAGGGCAACAGGCAAGGGTAACATCACTGTTGGAAATCAGTGGTCCACAGCTCCTTGGCGTTCCCATGTGAATTTCCCATGGGCTCCCTCGCCCTGAATCAAAGGCAAGCCTGAGACACACCCTCTCTATGAGCCTGTCTTGATGGGCCCAACCCGCCTGCCCAGTAAATTCTTTGCGTGCCTGAAGTTGAACATCACGTTGGACACTTGCAAGTGTTGCCCAGTACTGCTAGCTTTTCGTGTGTTCCTGCTCCCCGGTTGACGTGTAGTGAGATCTCAGTATTGAGTGCCAGGCTTTGTGCTAACCGTTTCCCACGTGATAGGTCATGGTAGCTCCACTCTACAGGGGAGGAGACCAAAGCTCGGGGCTAGAAAAACATGCCTGATCGCTCAGCCAGTGAGCCCAGAGCTGGGATCGCCCAGGTCGATCCCACTTCCAACCCCACGCCCTTTTTCTCTGCATCCCATCGCCTGTGGCCTTCCAAAGGCAAGGGCTGTCTGTGTCCCCCACATTCTAAACCTCTCACGTGCACTGCACAACGTAGGTTCTCTGGGGGAGACTGGCTGGTTCCCTTCAGTCTGGCTCTGAGCCCCATCAAGACCACCAAGGCATGGTGATGGACAACAGCGGGGGGTACTCCCTAGCTGTGTGTCTTAAGGCCCCTTATTTAGCCTCTCTAGGCCTCAGTTTGTTCAACTGCAAAATGGACAAAGTAATAATGTCCACCAGAACATTGTTGCCTAATTACTATAGCACGAACAGTGCAGTACCCAGCACAGAGCAATCGCTCAAGAAACTTTAGTGATTTTTATTCAAAGTAAGTAACCATTTAGACTTGAAGAACCCCACCAGCTCTGGGAGCCTCAGTTTCCTCATCGGCAAGCTAGGAGGGGATGCCTACTCCGGCCATCTCATTGGGTGGTGAGGCCACATGAAGTCAGGTACAGCGCTCAGACACAGGTGAGTGTTACATTAACAGATGGTGTTGCGTCAAGAGGCTTTCTTGGTATTATTTTTAGAAGTTTAATAATTTGTTAACTTTAATTTTTGTGCTTTCCCCCAACCCCCTAGTCTTTATATGAACACTCCAACACAAAACAAGCTCACAACTTCTTTTATACGCTTCAAGAATAGCCCTCTCTTTGTCCAATAATGGTTTGAGATTAAGATCCCCTTGACAATATGCTAATAAGTAGTAATAGTAACAGAAATCACGTGGCTGTTGAGTGCAGGCTATAGCGTCAGACTGCCCAGGTTTGAGTCCAGCCCCACCAGGAAGTAGCTGGGGAACGAGTGACAATTTACTCAACTTCTTGAAGTCTGAATTTCCACTCCTGTAAAATGAGAACCCCTACCTCAGAGGGCTCCTGTGAGACTCCGGTAGAACAGGACCCAGCACGATACAAAATAAGCCCGCAAACATCACTTTTATGTAAAAAGCTGCTACCATTTAATAAGGATCCACTATCTGCCCAGTCCTGAGCTCGGGATATCACATGGTTGATGTCACACAGCTCCTTACCACCCCTACCCCCGCCTCCCACCCTCATCTCCCCAGTTCCAGGCCCAGCACGTGGGCAGGTGGCACGAGGCGCCGTGGCCAGCCAGGTGGCAGGCTGCTCTAACGGGGAACATCAAGGTGCGTGCCTGGGGCTCTCCCTTCCGGGGGTTTCAGAGCTGTTGGGCCGGTGTTTCCTGGGTGGAGGGATTGCCCTCGCCTGCACAGGGATGCTTAGGAACACCAGCTAAAGAAGAGCTGAGGCTCACGCCCCTGGAAGTTGTCTCTGCTGCCAGAAAGATCTTCACAGTTGTCTGACTCAAAGCCAGCCGAGCTGAACTGCCAGTCCCTATAGTATTGGGGGACATGCCGTAGGCTCCACAAAGCCACCCGTCCTACCCAGTCCCTCCTGCCCAGGGCTGGCTGGGGGCCCCTCCTCCCCACAGAGCCAAACAGCCTCCCCCGCCCGCCCGCCCACCCGCCGGGTGTGTCCCCAGCCCTCCCGGCCCTGCTGGACCAGGCCCATTGTTGGCCGGAAAGCCCTGGAAAGGGTGGGGACTCGGTGCTGGCAGCTTTGAGAAAGCCCCGGGTGGTCCAAAGCCTAATGCCCACAGCTTCCGGGCGACACAACCCCCACCTTGAGGACCTGTTCTCCCCACCCCCAAATTCCCTTCTCCCCACATCAGGCCAGGACTCTGATCAAACCTGCCCCTTGGCTCCCACGGAGCTGGGTTGTCCCAGAGAGAGGGCTGAAGCAGGTCAGGGCTCTGGGCCCGGGTGTAATGTGAGCACGTTTATTTTACTTTCCAATCTCAACTGGATGAAAATGCTCTCCAGGGCCTGCCATTGTGCCCAGTACAATAGCGGCCCCGGGAGAGGTTTCTCTGTATTTATTTGCGCTGTCCCCCTGCTGCTGCCTCTAAGGCAGCCCTTCCCTGCAGATACAAAGAGAAGTTGGCTTGGGAAACCCTCCCTCCACGACAGAAACTCTTTCTACCTTCCCTTCGCATGATTTACTTGGCCTCCCAGCACATCCTGAAGGGCCTGGAGGCGGGCAGAGCTTCTCTGCTTGGGGCCCCAGAGCTTGGGAATCGGCCCCAGGTCCAGGGTCCAGGAGTCCAGATGCTGAGAGAGTGGATGGCGGTGGTGATGGCAGCAGCTCACATTGTCTGAGGACCTCAGGGACGTCTGGTGCTGGGCGAAGACTTTGTGTAGATTATTTTATTGACTCTGCGAAGGGTAAGCCCAGGACTAGGAGAGGCCCACTGAAAAGCAAGTGGGCTCTAGCTGGTTTGGCTCAGTGGCTAGAGCAGTGATGGCGAACCTTTTGAGCTCGGCGTGTCAGCATTTTGAAAAACCCTCACTTAACTCTGGTGCCGTGTCACATATAGAAATTTTTTGATATTTGCAACCATAGTAAAACAAAGACTTATATTTTTTATATTTATTTTATATACTTAAATGCCATTTAACAAAGAAAAATCAACCCAAAAAATGATTTCACGTGTCACCTCTGATACGCGTGTCATAGGTT